TCTTTCCCTCACCCACCACCTGCACCACTTCACTGCATATGGATGCTTCCGCTCCATTAACCATTAAACCGTACTGCACCAAAGCCCATGAGTGAGGAAAAAAGAGGAGAAGGAAGAGGAGGGTGGCTCTCATTAAACACTTTGAGCCCCAACAGAATCAATTACAGTGAGGTATCGATTTGTCAGCAGGTCACGGTTGCTCGGCCAAGGCACTGGGACCTGCCACCAAACAGGAGAGACTGGGGACAAATGGAAAGATTAAAGGAGGAAAGAAGTAAGGAGACAAATAGCGTTTGAGGAAGATGTAAGGAGAGGAGAAATGAGCGAGGATAAGGAGAACTGGAATTAGGAAGAGCAAGACTGAGATGGGTGTGAAGGAGAAAACAGTAGGAGGACTAAAGAGGTGAAGAAATGGGTGAAAGAGTGATGGAATAAGACTTTAGTATTGGCTCATGCAGTCAGTGATGTGAACATTGTAAATAACCAATAGGTGAGCTCTCCCCAGTACTAAACAGGAAGCAGCATAGCGGGCACAGAAACAGCAGTAAATACATAATACATCTATGGCTAAATATGATGGAGAGTCCGGTGACTCTTGGCCTCGGAATGTACAGTTCTGTTGGACCGTTACAAAGGAGGAGAAACTGGTGGAGTTGTGACGTGAGCAAGAGTGTCTGTTTGACGTGTCATCCAATTTGTACTGCCACAGACTGGAGAAAGAAAAGGTGGGCAGACCTCGCTGTCCCTTCAGTCAAACACGGGTCATGTCCCCATTCTGTGCGTCTTCTCTTTATAGTTTTGGCAGTTTTTTTTCCAAGCAAAACACTGAACACACAAGGGCAGCTGTAGCCAAACACAGGAGCATATGGAGAGTAGTCTCCAGAGAAATCTAGTTGCATTCTTGAAAAGTCACCCTGCATGATCCCCAATTTTTGCAAAATCATAATCTATGACTAAAAATTCTGTGACCGATGAGACACTGTAGTTTGATTTGAGAGGGTGTCAGACTTTAGTCTTTTATAAGTCTTTTTTGAGTCTTATCATAGTCTTGTAGCGTAAAGCCAGCAACATGTGAGGACACCACAGGGACGTGGTCAGGAAGACATAATAATACTCTATGTCCAAATCTAGGGATGTGTGTCGATTGAAGTAAAAGAAATATGGGATCCTGTGGGTTCTGAGGCAATAAGCAGAATACTGTAGCTTAGGACCATTCATCTATCACTAAGATAACTGAGCTCATACCTTGGAGTATTTTTGTGCCCATATGTGGTGTTTATATGTGCACAAACAAGATTTCCCATTATTATCTTCCTCTATTTGCTCTCCCACAGCTGCATCTATCACAGCCTGGGAATAATAGAGTTGACACATACTGCAAAATGCACAAAGAAAGTACAACGAGAGACTGTAATGACACAGCTGCAATAGACAACATGGGACAGGATTAGATGGCACAACCATTGCAGTTATGTCTCCAACCTGACAGAAGGAAAGTAGCCAGTCATTCATACAGCCAACTTGAAAAGATGTGCAGGTAAAATATAAAAACACTGATGTTGTACGCTTCACTCCAGGTGTGTTCGGGTCAATAACAGAGGTTTCTTTTTGAAAATGAGCAGAATGACCTACAGTACAAATGCTCTAAAATCAGTAGAAAGCTACATATCTGCTCTGTACGTTAAATGAGTGGTCTGCTCTTCTCCTTTAAGGAAAATCTCAAAAAGTTTGTTTTATATATTTTGGTTTTGTTATCGCACCTTATGTTTTAAAATTCATTACTCTCAGTCTTAATACCTTTGCGGTCGGAATATCATAATGTTTTGTCTAGATAGAGGTGTTTCCACACAGCCTATGAAATATTTGCAGTCACCGTAGGCAAACCACATTAGTCTTTCCTGCTTAAGTCTTATTTCATCTAACTTAAAAAGACCTGCACCTTAAGCCAAGGCCACCAGCAAGTCGTCAAGCAAACATCCACTGGCCTGCGCCACAAACTAATGTTAGTTCACTAAGTAGCTCCTCAGCCGCAACACATTAAACAACACGTAGCCAAACTTACTTGCACATAACTTCAGCCCGTTTAGATGTGAGTGGTCCTCTTCAGTAGCAGAGCCAACAAAGTGTGTGCCCATGACATGTGGGTTGCTGGAAGTTAAACTACAAGTTAGTTTACATGGTCTCTGTTCTGTCCCAGAGCTCCGCTTGAGCTCCAGCTCCTGTCATTCAAATCCTCACACCTACGGCCAAGCCAGCTTATGTAGGCCACAATTACATGGGCCTATCGCTTCTGTTCAGCCTAAAACCTCAGAAACAAACATGGCAATATTACTTAAAACAACCAAGTATTAGACATTTTTGTTAATATAATAAGGAAATATTACATATATACATCTACAAAGTGGCAAAATGATTTGTAAAATGTACCTAGAGTATTCAACTAAAGCATGGCTTAAGTTTTATGGTCATAGTTTGGAAAATTAAAACACTTAGTTAAGATTATTTGCCACCGCTGTCTACTGTGTTGTGTTTAAAAATTGAAATGGTACAAGATTTCCATCAAAATTCAATTCTAAAACAATCTATTAAATTCAGCTATGACAAAAATAAAAATAAAAATCTGGTTTAATAATGCAGCTTATTTGTCTGTCTATGTTTTTGCAACACACCGTTTGAGCCCAAGTCCTGGAGAAGGGTCAGTTAATATAGTGGAGCTAAATGTCAACTGCTCCAGTTTCACTGTCTTTCTGACCACAACAACATCACACACAGCTCCTTATCTAACAAAGGTCAGCCCTCTTTCCGTGTTTGTATGCATGTGTGTGAGACGAACAGAGTGCACTGCACAGAGTCGTTTAAACCCTGCCTCGCAATTTGATATCCATCAGATTTATGTCTCTGTTATCTTCCTCTACTAAACAGTAAGTGATAAACTCAGTGAAGGACACAGTAACAAGGATCTACCTTTCCAACCTCTCTCTCTTCTTGTCTATCTCTTGGTCTCAGCTTGTCTCTCTTGGCCCTTGTGCTATCAATCATTCGTGTGTTGATTGGTGTTGGATTACAGGGCTTTGGCTGTCCGCTTCTAGCGATTAATGCCGGGACAAATAAAACTCTTTTATACCCCTCCACAATGACTGAAGTAAAGCTCAAGCCCCCCTCCCCCAACAGACACACACTCATATTCACAAACACAACCACATTGAGTGCACAAATTAACTTTAATGTTAAATTCCTGATACCTGTTTGTCCTTGTCATGATCCACACATACAAATGGGCTGGAGACAAAGTAGAGGATGGTGGATTGTAAACTCAGCTGAGGACAGTGGCAACTACAGGATGATAGATTACGACTAGCTGTGGGAAATAATGCAAAACAGCAGAACACAGAGAAAACACACTCTCACACGAACAGTACATGTACTCGTTCACCACAGAGGCGACAAACCAGTTCCAGTGGCTGTTGTTTATCCTCCCCCACTCCTGCTCAAAGATGGCAGCAGAAGCCATTGGCACAGTTCCTCATTCCCTCCCTTACAAACATAATTTATCACTTGCAGCAGCCTCCTCAGTGTGTGTGAATGTGTGTGTGGTGGTTTAGACAGTCTGATCTGATCCAATGCTATATTAACCTTATTAAGAAACAAGGTGATGACAACAGAGAAAAATGTTCTCCCTAACCCCTGTAGGTAAAATTGGCACTGCAGCCAAATGTTCCTCAATGTCTGCCCCTCAACTCACATGTCAAACACACACACACATACACACATTGACAAGTACACAATCAAAGGGATCCAAGCAAAGTCCTGGTGGGAATTAAACCAAAGTCACCATTTTTCTTCCCGTCAGCTCGCCTCCTGCGCTCATCCTTTGCCTGTCTCATCTTTTGTTTTGTAGTTTCAGCTACTGTCAGCTAATCCATCCACAAGCATGTGTGTGTCACAGCTACTTTTCATATGAGCAACATACTGTACAGATGGGTGACAAGCTAAAGGAAAAACCAGAATAAATGAGTGGTCTCTTCCAGGATGGCAGTGCCCCCACTGAGCACGAGGGGTCACTGAATGGTTGGGGATGAGTATGAACATGATGTGAATCATATGCTATGACCTTCACAGTCACCAGATCTCAACCCAGTTGATCACCAATGAGAGATTTTGGAGCAACATGTTAGACAGAGTCTCTACCACCATCATCAAAACACCACATGACAGAATATCTTTTGGACAATGGTGCTAATCCCTCCAGTAGAGTCCAGAGACTTGTAGAATCAATGACAAAGGTGCACTGAAGCTGTTACGGTGGCCCAACACCTTCCAAAGACACTTTAATTTGTTGCCTGTCTATAAATACAGTGCACAGAAAACATGGACACATACAAAAGAGACTAATTATAACTAACAAAAACAGCATTTAATTGGTTTCCAGCAATGTTTTTCAAACCAATACATTTATATTTTCAATGATTTACACAACAAGAGTTCCCTGCAGATGTAGTGTTAAAGGGGAATCTGCACCAACCTCACATAAACACAATCTAAATTATATTCACTGTGTTTTTGTTTGCTTTATTCAGAGCCATAAACATTAGTTAAAAACTACTTTTTGTGTGCATGTCAACAATCCACAGTATGTGAGTTTATGTCTCTGTGTATGTACTGTATGTCTCAGGGTAGTAAGAGGACACTCTGCCGGTCTCTCTGTGTGGCCTCCTCCTCTTCTTGTTGTTCCTCACTGACTCTGCCCCTGCAAAACCAAATCCACCAGTCAAAGGCAGAACATCCTGCACAGCACTCATTCTACATATTAAGCCTTTTGTAAATATAATCACATCCATCTGATGTGTCAAATATTTCATCTGAAATTGCAGTTGTGATTCACATCTGCAATGCTCAACACAGCTGCTGGGGGTTTCATATTATTATATGAAATCTGAATCCAGCACTAAAGTGCCTTATACTAATATGTACCTCTTTAGGTTGAATTCACTTGCAGTATTCCCTCTCATTATTTGTCTCATCAGCTACTGTAAAAACAATGTCAAATCCATGCAGATTTTGTACCCGCTGAGACCTCCTTCAAACCAAAGTTGTGCTGCTACTCTGTGTATGGACTCCTAGTCCTGAGTGTAACCACTAGCATGAGAGCAGAAGCTGACATTCTGACTTTACAGGAAGTGAGCCAAAATCCTTAAGAACTACAGTGCTAAATGTCAGTATATGCATGCATTCTGAGTATTACAATATCAAGCAGGCAAACACAGATTAAGGTGTAAATATACCCTCGATCTTTCAGCAAATAATGGTGAGTCTGAGATGTCTTACTTGAGCTTTTTAAAACCAACTGAATGCTTCCTGTGAGGCTACTGCAAGTCCTGTAATGTGTAAAAAGTGTGAGAGAGATGCAATGCCAATTTTTTTCCCCCAAATATTAATGTCATACTACAAATGTGCACTCACAAGGTTAGATGAAAGACAGCCAACAGAGTGAGGCAAACACTAAAGCACATCCAGGCAGCTGGAAGCTGTTGAGTCAGACTGAAAACAGACGATGAATAGTTGTGTGGATACGAGGTAAACATAAGCTAGGTCATAGTAGACATAATACGCTGTGTCACAGTAGTCACTCGTGTGTTGTGTGCGTGTACTTCAAAATGTACACATCCTATTTTTGCTACATTCATCAAAATAAATGTATATTTTATGGTTATATACAGGACTGAATTATAAACCCACAAGTTTTTTCAGATTACACTGTTATTCTGTGGTAAGCAGAAGACACTACTTTATAGTTGAACCCCATCATCATACATCTACTTTGTAATGCATCTGCAGCCACTGCTCAACAGTCTAAAATAACATCTGTGTTGTAAATAACAACGGTGCCTCTGTGAGAATCTGGTAGCTGACATTAGGTTGGTACCAGGAACCTATACTGTGCTTTTGGAGCAGTTTTTGAATTAAACATTGCATTTAGAGAGTAAAACTGAAAACAACTGAATGCCTATACAAGCTAGGCTTTGCATGGGATAGCAAAATAGAGGATCTGTTTCGAAAATACATTTTCTGAGTTGAATATTTTCCTAAATGGGAGTGGCACAGCAGTGCAGGGGTTAGCACTTATAAGAGACAAGAGATGTACCCTTAATAAGCCCTGTGATAGACTGGAGACTTGTTCATGGTGTACACCACCTCTTGCCCAGTGTCAGCTGGGACTGGCACCAGGCCCCTGTGGCCCTCTATAAGTTGAGAGGAATAAATAATGGATGGATTTGTACAATGACCAAAAAAACTGCATTATGAAAAGAAATGTGACATTAAGATGAAGGTGAAGGTGGAACTACAGGGTCGGATGTTGAGAAACAGAAGATGATAACACATACAGCTATCCCAAATTACTTTTAAGTGCATCTGTGTGTGTGTGTGTGTGTCTACAGTATGTGTGTGTATCAGTGCGTGTGTGTGTGTTTGTAGGATGTAAGAAGCCGTTTTGGGAGCCCTCTGTGTAGTATGTGCTAATCTGGTTATTACACGTCTCAATGTGATATTCACAGTGCTCTGCTCAGCACAGGGCCTCTGGCACAGATTATGCCCACTACACACACACACTCAAAACATCAACAACACAGAAACACACTCAGTTTCTGATACACACACACACACACACCCTCTCTCTTTCTGTCTCACACACATACACACATTAAGAAGCACATTAAGACCCAATACCCAACATGCTGTTAAAGATAAAGTCGTTCTGCTGGCTAACGATCCATTACACACTCCACATATCTGAAAAGGAGAGGCATTGATGGAGCACAAAAAAAGGAAGGATTACCCCCCCATTGTGACCACTGGAGTGGCAGAGGAGTGTAAGGGGCAAGAAAGCAATGGATTACATGCTGATCATGGTGAACAGACACAGACAAGAGTATGAAAACAGCAGGTCACAAGGCTACACTCAGATTCTCACTGAGAAAAAGGGCATGCTTGCCATTCAGGATGTCAAATTGGAGAGGAAATTTTAGCAGCTACCTGAGCTGCAGCTAGTACCTTTTAGTTCTATGGGGCAAGTACATGGGTAGACTCTGATTTAGAAACCTTCCCAGGTCTAATAACAGTGGATTTGAGTTCACCCTTGAGGATGAGGTTATGTACACTGTGTGCCCTGAGCAACCACAACTGTTATGAGGGAGTGGGTTTAGTGTGCATGCGAGTGTGTGTGTTCTTGTACATGTTACATAGTGAGGACCAAAAAAGTATACAGAGTGAAAACATTTTTGGAAAGTGAGGACATTTTGGCTAGTCCTCACTTTCTGAAACACCCTTTTGAGAGTTAAGACTTGGTTTTATGGCTCAGGTTAGAATTGGGTCTAGGCTAGGTGTTAGGGTAAGGGTTGTAGTTAGGCATTTGGTTCTGATGGCTAAGGTTAGGGTAAGGGGCTAGGGAATGTATTATGTCAATGAGCATTCTCACAAAGATAGAAGTACGTGTGTGTGTGTGTGTGTGCGCGCATTACCCACCGTGTTAAACGCTGATTCCCATGTTGATCTTGACCTCCACTGTCTACCATAAGAAGTACTGAAGACTGCGTTCCTATTTCTGAAGCAGACATTAAGGGAGGGTATTGCTTATGACCTTATTTTAAAGCCATCATCACCATCAACAGCTCATATCTCATCTAACATCACTGTGATTGACATCAGTATATCTTTGTTTGGTAATCATAATCAAAATGAGTTACATGATGATCATAGATGCATGACTTATTTACATGTCTTCACCTTTTGCCATTTGCCTGAGTTCCTGCTCCAGACCACGAAGTGTGTGCACAGTTGCATCAGCGTCCAGGTCAGGGTCCTCACACCCTGCTTGATCCACACTACAGATCTCCATTATCTCTTGGGCTGCCCGGGACAACGGACGAAGCTGTGGACCCAACTCTAAGCCCAGCATGGGATGAGACAGACAGGCAGAGAGAATGAGGATGAGAGAGGGCGGGAAAGAGAAATGCAGGGAGAGGACTTGAGGTTGTACTTCAAGGGTGAGACAGAGGTAGTGTGGACTTGCCAGCGATACTATATATATAAAGAGATACCTGGATAAATGTATCAGTGCACAGAAGCACAGATGGATGGATGTAACAATGAACACTGAAGTTCATCTTATGAAAACAGCTACAAAAGCTGAGTGCAGACAGGAGAACGTAAGAGGAAGAAAGGGAGGGGTTATGCGGCTTGTAATGCAGAGAGAGGGTGAGAGGCAGAGAAACCACTGCAACAGTCAGTAGAACGAGTGGTGCGTCATCCCACTTCACTGCGAGCCACATCAAATTGAATCACATTGAACATCCATCCCCACCTGCTCACTGAAAATTACATTGAAGCCCCCATTGAGAAGCTATGATGGTATGGGTGTGTATGTGTGTGGTACACAAATTCCTCATACTGTGTGCTGTCTAACCAATTTCAGCTCAAATGTCAAGTCTTTCATTCCTTCAATCTTCCATTGTCTCCTTAACTGTCCCTCCCACCTTCGTATCTCAGCGCTTGGCTCTGTCTTTCAACTGGCACTGAACCTCCACTTAGTGCTTTACAACCACCTGCACTGTCAAACAAAGCAACATGGGTGATGATGCCTGCACAGTGCAGTGCTGCTAACACATGTGCAGTACATAAATACATATTTGTTTCAATTTCAAAGCAGATATATAGACAAATCAAGGTTTCTGTTACCGATAAGCCCCCAGATTTAAAATATATTGAATGCAAGATGTGAGAAAGATTCAAGTCTGATGTCCCTCAAGAGTTTCAGGTTATATTATGCTGGAGTGGCTGCGGATCAGGAGATAGAGCAGCCGTCCCCTAATCAGAAGGTTGGCGGTTTGATTCCCATTCTCTCCAGTCCACATGTCGAAGTGTCCTTGGGTAAGACACTGAACCCTGAGTTGCTCCCAATGGCCAGGTCAGCACCTTGCAGGGACAGTGCCACCATCTGTGTGTGTGTGAGTTGGCGCTGCAGATGGCTGCCTCGGTTCTGTACTGAAGACATCTCTTGTGTTTGTGAAACATACTTGGACAATAAAAGTGATTAAAAGTAAATTAAGATGTAATCAGTAACATGCATCTTTTTCATGTGACACATTATAATGTCAGGCAGAACTCTGATCTATGCAACACAAATGCTTTGGACCATCCTACCTAAAATGAAGTTTTAAAATGAAGTATTTTTTAAAGGGTAAACCAAATGGTGTGGACTTCCCCATTCACAAATATGCTCATTATCACAACACTATTTCAAGACATTAATGGCACAAGGGAGCCAAAGCACAGATGTTTGGGTGAGCAGCCTTTTTCAGTGCGCTGTCAGACAGCACACTGGAGCGGCACATTGACAAGAGACAGCACAATGAGACACTTCTTGGAGAGACGTCTGCGCTTAGGTTCCCTTGTGGAATTAAAAAGACTGAAAACATGTTGAGCACTCAAGTATCCTTCTGATGCTATAATTAAATATACTGAAAAGGGTTACAGCTCCTGAATGGTTTTACAAGTGCACACCTGCTTTCAAGATGTAACGAACCTGACAGCAGATTGGCAAACCTTCACAGGACTGGGACAGAGGGTTCTGCTCCTCCAGATGTGCTTAAAACCACAGAACATCCTCTCTATTCTTTCACTTTCTCTCACAGCCTGCAGAATATACAGGACCTCTGTCCTGACAATAAACCTGGTTCACATCAGATAGGATGTGGGGACACTTTGGCACCTAGCAGGAGACGAGAGCTGTTTACCATCACACTAAAACTTTGACTACTTCAGAGGAGAAGGAGTCCTCTGAACAAACACTCACCAATGCCACCAACCAACTGGAAACCCATTCTTAGATAGAAAGTCACTTTCAGCTTTTCCCATTTAGGGGTCACCACAGCAAATCGTCACACTAACGACTCGCATGTTGACATTTGGCACGTGTTTTACACTGGATGCCCTTCGTGATGCAATCCTGAATCGAACCCGAGCCGCAACGGCAAGAGCGCTTCGCCTTAACCACTAGCCTACCAGGGACGGCTGAAAACCCATTCTTAGATAAGAGACTGAAAAGAGAGTCATCACTCAATAATTCCAAGACAGCTGGTTGTAACATCACGTACAAATCCACTGTGGGGCCAAACAACCCTATTTTGTGCAAAGGCTCCTCTGGTTTATGGCCAGGTTACCTGCTCACATACTCAGAAAAGACTAAACCTACTCTTCCATACACACAAACTTACAAGTGAACTTATGGACATTCTTATAATACAGTGAATAAATGATACCAGTATTAACTCATGTTATTAAATCTGTTCAAGAGAAGATGGGAAGATGGTATCATTATTACTGAAACCACATCTTTATATCTTGTTCAGAAGCCCAATAGTTAATCTATGACATTGCATCTGTCTCTGAGCCTCATTTAGGAAGTCCCTGCATGGCTCAATGCTGCCACCAAAGGACAAAAGTATGTTGTGTTTGACCCAAGTAGCCTATCCAGTGACCTTTGAAGACTACTAAAGTGTTAAAATGATGTTGTCTTAGATGAATGTAGGCTCTTGACTGACATGAAGACATCAGTAATATTTTATTGCCCCAGATTTGAATACAGCAACTGGTGATTAAAGCTTACAATATGAAATGTTTATCTCTGGTGTTTCACTTGAATTAGCCTACAGTTAAATATTTTAACCGTGTAGTTAGACTTCTTGAACCTCACTTGTTAGCTGTGTTGATTCGGTGTTAACATAGAACCTTTAGAATGTAGCCAAATCTTTCTTGCTTTGCATTCTTCAATAATCCCTGCACACTGAACATCTTAGCCATCTCTAACCACTCTACTTTAGACAGGCACGTTTATGCATTTATTAGGTAATTAAAGAACTGTACATGTTTACTTATGTTTACGTATGTTGATGTATCCCACTATTGAGTAACTATTTTTCTTTCTTAAGAATTATTGGATATGCGTTATTATTTTGTATGCTGTCATATCAAGATTATGGTGAGAAGGAACCAGTCAGTCTGATAATTACGCCCCCAGCTGGATTCTTTAATTTGTTGTGCCTGACACCAGAGCACCCAGACATGCTCCAGCCCCTTTTTTGGCCACTGTCCTTTAAAAAGGCCCTGACACTGCTTTGTCTCACACCGCACACAAGGGCAGAAAGCATTTTTAAAACCAAAAGATGCAGAACCTCTAATTAAATTTCCATGCCAAAAGTTTCGTTTTGTCTGCCACTCCAGGGCATTGTCCCTCGATTCTGTTCTGATTTTCCAAATTACTTTGTGCGCAAGCTTTTTCTTCAATTTCCCTTTTCTTTCCTTTTTTTCTCCCCAGTTAAGCCCTGTCCGATCAAATTTATACTTAGAACTGTTTTCCATCTTTGTAGTATTTTTAGACAATTGTTCATTTGCGTCCCAGCTCCTCATCTGCGTTTCCAGCACAACATCAGCTGTCTGTGAACAGGCCTGCTCAGAGCAAACTGGAACCATTTCAAGCTCTTATTCTCAAACGGCCCTGCCGGATGATCCCCGAAGCGACGATGAGGACTCTTCGGGCCAGGCCTTCACAAGAGACTCTGGAACACAGACTGAGCTGAACCAACTGAACCTCCCGGGGCCTAATCCATCCTCAGCCGTGATCTGACTACACTCCAGAACACGCAAGACCAGTCCACTTCTCTAAACCAAGCTGGTGCTGTTTAAATTCTGATTCAGGCAAAAATCCCATTAACCACATTTCCACAATTCTTTTCTTTTTGTAACTGACAATTTTTTAAATTAAGAATCCGTACTCCCCATATCACCATAATCATTAGGAAAGTTTATCAGGTCAAATTAATCAAACTATCCAATATTCATCCAATCAATTTATTCTGTGTTCTGTCTTATCATTTCTTGCCAGTTTAACTGCATTCAGTAGCCATTTGATACTTTTTCCTGATTATTCCTATTAATAAAAAGCATAATATTCAGTTCTGCTCCTTCTCTTTTCCTTCTGAGTGTAAGGCTTAAGGTTAATAATTTGGCTGATAATGTGATTTATAAATGATGAATAATTAATTGTTAACCATAAAATATTAAAGTAATTTGAGTCATTCCATGGTTAACAGAACTGGTGCTTTGAGGTCACTGTTTTATCTGCCAAGCTGAGGCCTCAATCCTTCAAACTGTTTGCGTTTCGGGAAAATTATGACTGAATAGTGTAAAAAGAGGAATAAACATTATCTGTGGTTTTCTTTAGGATCCTAAAAATATCATAAGTGGGTAAACGTTTGTGGAAGTGGAGAGAAAGAATGGGCAAGGTTAATGAAGAGAATTAAAAACAGCAGGGCTATGAAGGAATAAAGTGGTCATATTCAAATAGCTGTTCTGTGTGAGGCAGGAGAGAGGAGGGAGGTATTAGATACATCACAGAGTAAAAACAGATTAGCGTTAAGTCTTTCAGGTTTCTATGTTTGTGTATGTGTGGGTGTGTAACAGCATAAATACATTGCTGCAGTGTTTCTGAGCGAGGGAAGAGATGAAAAGACATATTCCTGAACCGACTCTCAATCCTGTACTTACATGTGTACAGTGTGTGTGTGTATATGATGTGTTTGTATATACAGTATAATCTATGTAAGAAACCTGAAACTCTGTGCCAAGAAAGTGAGGCTACACAGAAATTAGGTGTATTAATTGCGCATGGAGTGCTGTGTGTATGAGAGTAAATAAGTCAAACACAAAGCTCAGTGTGCCTATAGTGTTCACAGAGACGCACAAACAAAATACACATAGACATGAATGTGAGCATACACGCATAAATTTACCAGATGTTCCTGTTTCATTGGCTGAGACTTCTCCCCTCCTAGTGGGTGTGGTTGAGTGATTCTGAATTCCAGTTGGCTGCATGTGCTTGTCCTTCATCATTCTGAAAACCAGGTGTTCTTCACCGTAGGCACTGAGGCTGCTGCTCGGCTCGTTTACCTCAGGCCCTAAAAGAGCAAGAGACTAGAGAGTAAGAAATGTGGCATCCCAAATTGGAGCTGAGAAACCCACAAAGCACAGCCATACATAAATGTCCAGAAAAAAAAAATCACATGTCAATATTTGTACTATCGCATAGTACTGCTTTATATCCCATCGGTGTCTCTTCTAGTTTCTGGCCTTGTTTCAAAAGCAGCTCATAACTCTATCCACTTTAAAAGTCTGTTATTGCCCTTTACATGCCCAGAAAAAAACATCCGGAATACCTGGATACAAAATAAATGAATCCAGAGATACAAATCATGCATTGTCATGCTGCTATCAGTCGGATGTATAGCCAGCAAATGAAAACAGTAATGCATTTGCCTTGCTATCTAAAGCCAACACTGTGTGTGTTGGTCTAGATCCAACAAAAGGAATAAACTTTCAATTCTGATCATACAAGTATATGTTTTCGGCATCTAGTCACACAAGTCAGCTCCTCTGTACAATGTAAAGGCTTTCAGAAAATCCACAGTATGTTCATTCAATATAGCTGCAATGAAAAGAGAAACATGGCTGCGAAGAGGTTTAGAACTTTATGCAGAAGCTATTAGCATATTAATGCTAATAAATATACAGAACTGAGTAAATTACCTTTGATGCAGTAATCAATTTGTGCACTGAGCAGCAGCATCTGTACTAAACCAATATTGCTAAACAAGCTTGTTCACAGCTGCAATGCAGCTACTGCTCTTTTCCTCTTTCTTTCCTAGCCAATCAATTAATACTATTGACTGGATGGAGAATCTATTAACCAGTCTAAATCAGCAGCGAATGACAGGAGGGAGGGTGGAGAGGCCTCAGGCAGTCAGCTTCTAAACTCACTAAAATGGAGAGGGTGGAAGCTCTTTAGGAAAACAACAATGATTTAAAATGCACAAAGATTTCACTGGAACTCTGTCAAGCTGTCATTTGTTCTTCTTGCCTTTTATCTTTTAGGGTGGCTGTGTACTCATCTACGTCTTTCTGCCTGTTTTTTCATTCACTTGCATGCTTTGCTGCATATCTTATTGCTGCTATCTCCATACAGCTGCCTGTTTCAGTTCTCTCTCTGTCTCTATATACTGTAGGTTTCCCTGTAGCCAGCTCCTGTCTGGCTATCGGTGTCTCTCTCTTTCTGTTTGACTGGATGCACTGGAGACAGAAAGTGCACATTAACAACCTAATTTTCTGTCTGACCGGGTGAGAAGGAGAGAAAGGGGAAGGCAAGAGGTGGAAAGGTAGAGCAGGAGACATATAAAACCTGTTGGATCTAAGCCCTGCCTGAGAGAAAAACAGAGGAGACAGATGGAGGGACATAAATGAGTGTGGAGTGATGTCAAGGTGATATTCCTCCTCGCTAACCTTTCTCTCTCATTAACTTTGGAGATTTAACGATGGTGGTAGAAACAGTGCAGGGTTTGATGAGCAGCTGGCTGTGTGGTGTGAGGAGTGGTGCCCTTGTGGGAATCTCTCACTGTCAACCTCATGCATTTAACAAAGGCTTGACGATGAAATGGTGAAAAGCTGGGTTTTAAGGCTTGACGAAGGGAAAGGTTGATGGGATCACTCTGGGTGGAAGCAATTTACATACTCAAAAAAGGATGAATTAGAAATCCTTGCTGACTTAAATCAGTAACCACTGTTTAAAATGCATGTGATTCAACAGCTGTGGAGAAGAGCACATGTGGATGGATCAGTTGTTGCATCTGAATCCATCTGAATATTATTTGGAGGTGTAGGTTAGACTTCCACATGTCTTGTTGGGCAGTCTGAGCAGTTCGCAGACATGGCCAGTTTACAAATCATTAGTGTTAAAAAAATGCTGTGGCCACACACAGGACATGTATCATATACCTTGGAGACACTTTCCTCAGTGGCTACAGCTTGGTCTACCAGACCATTTAATGTGAGAAGTTTTTAAACCATCTTGTTACACCAGCATTTGTCTGGTGTAGTAGGAGGAAAAAATAATCAAAAACCAAGGAATTTAATATCTATGCATTCTCTTGCAGGCAAAGTATAGGGATAAAATAAATATAAGGTAAAATATAGCAAAAGCAACATAAATAGCTACAGTACCAAAAACTCCCCACAAAACTGTACAGCAATAAAGTCTGTGTATATTGTAAAATACATTTTTCCAGTATTTTCTGGACAGTACACTGCAAAGAAAAACCGGGGCAGCTCTGGTTCAGGAGGTAGAGCGCATTGTCTCCTAACTAGAATATTAGAGGTTCAATTCCCAGCTTGTCCAGTCACATTGAAGTGAGCAAGACACTGAATCCCCAGTTGCTCCTGGTGTGTGAATGTGGGAGTGCAAATGGGCGAATAGCCAAATAGTGTGAAAGTGCTTTGAGTGTGCTGCAATGCATAGAAAAGTGTTATACAAGTCTAAGACCATCTAAAAAACTGTAATATTCTGGCAGCTGGGTGTTACGGTTTAGTCCATTGAAGTGAGCAAGACACTGAATCCCCAGTTGCAGGTTGGACTCAAGTGTGCTAACCCAGGTGCTAGTAAAAGGAAGGGAGGTTTTAATGGAACAATAAACACGAAGTGACAACATAACAGGGTCCATGTACATACAACAGCAAAGTAGGGCAGGGATGGTGACGAAGACCAGGACGAACAGGTGAGTAGATGGGCTGACGGCAGAGACCAGGAGAGCAGGAGGATGAGGACAGACAGGTGAAAAATAATAGCGAACGTAATGAATTCCACTGCACAGGGACTGTCAGCGTGGAAGTCAAAAAAACACGTAATGTGAAAACAGAGGGGCAAAAACCAACGTACAAAAATGCAATCCACAGCACAGGAACTGTCAGCGTGGATAACAAAAAAAGAACATCTAGTTAACCACATGGACAAAAAAACCAAACAAGGCGGTCCACAGCACAGGAACTGTCAGCGTGGAAAACAGCATACGTCTGATGCATACCCCAACTATAGGGCTATTACGGAGTATGCACGTTACAGTCACTAAGTCACGTACTTTGGGTAAGCAATGCTCCGGCAACGGCGGACCGTCTGCCAGAGGTATAAATAAGGAGGGAGTCAATCAGCTAACGCGCCTCAGCTGTGCGCGACAACCCACGAGTCACTAATTACATAAAGCAAAACAGCTGAGGCGCGGATCCCACAAAAAGAGTAGGAGAGAGAAAAGAAAAAGTGAGGCAGGTCGAGAGAACAGAGGAGAGAAAGGCGGAAGAGAGGCAGGTCGCGCCGAGCGGACCTGACACTGGGTCACTAGAAAATTACCACAAAGTTATGGAAAATAACCATCTAAAAATATAGTAATTTCCTGTAATTTAAAATATAAAGTAATTTTAATAAGCATTCGTTTTAGCTTCACAAAAGCCCATTCTTCATTTGACATGAAAAACTTGAGAGCTGTTAAAGTCATTTTGTCCCAGGGAGGTACAAAGACAGCATACAGGGCTGTTTCTAGTGGCTTTGTTAGATATTAAATGTACGGTGGTAGACACTGAATTCAATACTAACCTTCATCATGGTTTGCACAATTTTTTATTATTATGAAATATATCGACCTAGCCTTACTTGGTTTAATATGTATTACAGATGCACAGTAAGTTTCCCCATGAATGGGTTTGTCAAACTGGAAAAAAATTAATAACTGAAGAGTTTTAACTCTAACAGGATTTTCCTGTTATTTAAATTTTGGGCATATCATTTATTTTACTGTATATATTTTTTAATTCTATTATCATTTTCATATATGTTGGAAATACAGGGAACATTTATAAAATAAACAAGACAACAATTCCGTAAAACTATTTTTACTGTGGAATCACTGATTACACCATGTTTCCCGAAGTGTTGTAAAGGAAACAGGCTTATATCACTGCACATATACCTTTCAACAGTCCTCTCAAAAGTAACATCAAAATGAACTTTGTGTGTCATGTGAAGGATACATGCATTATTATCTGCACTTTTCAGCTGGACTGGAAACAGCAAGTTAAGGCTGCATTTTCTCTGAGTGTGTCTTTGTTATGAACTGATGAAATATGGACAGTCATAACAGGAGGGATGTGGTGCCTATGTTCGATCGCAGTTTAAGAAAACAGAGGGTCTAAATATACTGTAAGTAAAAAAAAAATAAGACCACACAGGCTTAGATGCATGTGCAGAAAAAGGCATACACACATAAGCACAAACAATAAAAAGGCATCTCAGGAAAGCTCCCCTCGGACCCACCAGCAGTAAATTATCGGTGTTGTCCCTCATCTCTCGTTTTCCACCAAGCAGCCAGCGCTCCTCTGGGTTTGAAACTCATTTTCATCTCTCTTGTAAGCTCTACATTTTTACATATTTGTTCTAAATCCTATTATGAGGCCTTTGTGATATGAATAACACTTGCAAATTGGAATATATCTCCAGGCAAAAGTTGGACACAGGGGTAATCTTCGCAATCTAATCTCTTGAAGCACAAAAAACAGCAACAGCACTTTCTGGTGTAGAACGTAGGAAAGCATGAACAGTTTGAAGAAAACAAAACTCACACACACAAACATACACCTTAAAATACTTTCCTTCTCTAGTCTACCTGTTGGGTCTGAATCATGCAGCAAAGTTTGGTATGTGTGCAGTGGATCACAGTGTGTGTGTGTTCGTGTTTGTTAGAGTGACCTGAGTTCAAGTCCAAATCCAGAGGCGTAAACCCATCCCGACCGCAGAGCTGCTCTGATCCAGACCCTGGACTCTGGCTGTGGATCATCTGGGGGAACCACATAGAGATGCAGGGAAAAAATGAAGGGGATAAGTGTTGTAAAAGGGAACATGGAAGAAGTGAGGCAGAAAGACAGATTACGTGAGGATGATAAAAGGGATAAAGGGAGGAGGGAAGAAATGGAAAGAAGAAATAGGATATGGAGGGGTTGAGGAGAGGGTGGTTTGGGGAAGTCAAGAGAAAGACATGAAAATAGAGTGAAGAGAGTACAGTGGAATAAGGAATGCATTGGTCTCACAGCTTGACTTCCATTTCTATCCTAATAAAATCAGTTCAAAGGCCAAACTGAAATTCTACATAACTTTTATCGTGACAAATAAGAGTTTTCAAATGTATATTTTTCATTTTCAACTGTGTAAATGCAAATTAATAAGCCAGTCATTGTCTTTCACTGGAGATGATTCCCCTCTCTCCCTGTTTCCTTAGTTTCCATTTGATAAATTGATTTTCGATTAACCCCTGAAGCTGGTGAGAACATTTCAGCACAGTGTGATGGGTTGGCTGTTCGTCCCACGCAAGTGTCCTCCTGTGAGACAGGGATAAAATGAGGAAGCTCTGTTTGGTTAAGATTAGATCTGATGCATTAGCATGGTAGCAATCGCATTGCAAGACATTACAGATGGGCTGAGAGGAGATTAAGGCATGTGGGAATAATTGTTGCTGAGGGCAAGGAAGGAGCAAGCATGGAGAATGACCCAGTGTACGGATGTCTGGTGTTTACACAGAAAATGACCGTATTATTAACAGTAAAATACAGTAAAGTGTTTAAGAGGGCTGCCAAAGGCCATGTTTGTCTTCATGTTTCCTCTGCTTGGCCTTGACACCAGGCCATATCTTGTAGAACCTTATTTTACTTTCTAACAGTTGTTTAGGTTATTATTTGGAGTGTAGGTAACTTATAATAATGAAGTAAAATTCCTACTGATATGACAGAATTATGTGATAGCAGCATTAGGTTTCTGCTTGTTTTAAATTAATATAGTATGCTACTGTTTAGAGATCCACAGCACTGGTTTTTCTACTGTTAATATATTACAATAATACATTGGAATGTAAAATATAGCAAAGGGCAGGCAACTGATATAGCTCTAATTATAAAATGGAAAGAGACTCAACAAAGTTATACTGTCAGAAAAAAAATGGAACAGCGTTTGTGTAGACTAGTGTATTCTCATAACAAAAGGTTGCAGCAGCATAGGGTACAGAATATATATGGTAAACACAAACCAAAAAGGAGGAAGGGCAGAAAAGAAGGGGATAGAGACAAAAAGGACCTAAAGAAAAAAGAGAAAGAGAAAGTATAAGAGGTCCAGTACATGGAAGACAACAGAGGAGACAAAGCCGGACCCAAAGAGGGAGAAAGGTGGGAAAAAACTCTACTGTATCTAATCATATTAGGGGCAGTTTGATTTAAGTCCAGAGGCCACAGATAACCACCATCTTTACAATCATGAACATCATTTTGCTCCAGCTTTTCAACAAAGCATTACCCCCTCTTAGTTCATTCCTCTGTCACAGTATAAAGAATTCATACTATTAAATGGCTGATAGGCCATTTGGGACTATTCAAGCTGAGTCGTTTCGATCCACTCTGCTTCTTTTTTCTTAGCTCTGTGGTGTGCACCTTTAACAACACAGCCTTAGGTATTTCTGTGCTAAAGATGAATAATGTAAAGTAATTAGTGTGACATGAATATTATCTAATAGATCAGGTTGGCTACAATCAAGCTGCATGTCGCTTACTGTAAGTCTTCTAAATCTGTGGAGAGATTATATCCAGTGTAATGTGGCTCTTTAAAACTTTCCCATTTATTCCTTTTATTACTTGGCCTTGGGATATTTCTAAGACAAACTTAAGCATATTGGCAATTAACTATTACAGCCTATTTGTAATTCTCTCTTTCATTTGTTGGCAATTGAATATTTTATTACTAGTGTAATAATATCAAGTATCACTTTCATCAAGTCAAGGAGCTTGCTGTGCCACTGCTATAATTATACAAGACATTCTGTGTGTGTCAATAAATTCTGATATATTAGCGATGTATACACCATGAAATCAAAAACAGGAAGGATGTGTGTGTCAAAAATGGCTTGGGTTTTTGTTGTGCTATTGGACACTTTGAAATAGAGCAGTGACTTTGTAATTGTTACCCCGCTGGCATTTTCTTTTGAAAATGGTTACCAGTGAGTGCAAATAGACTGAGTTATAGTTTAAATTAACTAGGTTAATGTTACATGCACATGTTACTATTACAGCTCTCTAGCCCAAGCCTCCCCCTCCAAGAAACAAACGCCTGTGGAAATATGGAAACATGTTACCATAGATGGTTCTGGTGGCTGTTCTGGCTCATCAGACTGCCAACTGTTTCCTTGTCCTGCATCTTCAGGAGCAAAAGGATCTCCTAGATGAGACATGGCAGGACTCCTTTGTATTTCGCTGTATCTTGTCAAACATTCATGCATCTGTGCCTCTTCTTCTGAAGAGTCTCCCTCATGCCGTGCCAGACCCAGACTGTCACTGGACATTTCATCTCCACTGTCTTCATGAAAAACAGACACGCATGTTTAGAGGATGAAAGGGTTTACTTTGAATTATGCTAGAAGATCTGCAAAGGGTTTTTATTTCTCAACATACTGGACAATAATCTAAAAAAATACTGCTGAATTTATATGTCTCAGTGTTGGAGTTCCAAGGTGAATTACAGTATAAGAGCACATCAGCTCTCCTTGATTTATTATGCTTTGAACCACTGAAGCAAAATATTCATCTCTAACATCCAAGGAAAAATCTAAAACATGATGTAAGTGTCCTTAGTATTGCCACACACATGTACAGCTCTAATGAGCTAATAAATCAGGCATTAAGAGTCAGACTGTTCAAAGAGCCGTAGGAAGCAAGAAAGCAACAGATGGACACCACAGAAATTATGGATGAATGAAGAAAGAGAAGTGTTAAGTCAGTACCATCATTGTGAGGACAATTCTGCAGATCCTCACAATTCCAAAGGGGGTGTTCAGGGTCACGCCATGGTTTTAGGGTTAATCTTAGAAGTAGGTTTAGGTTAGGCTTAGGTGGGGTTATGTTATGTGGGTAGCTGTGATAGTTAAGGTTAGGATAAGGGGCTAGTAGTGAATGTATCATGCCAATGAATGTTTCCCAAAATTGGCAGGACTAACATGTGGGTCTGTTTGTGTGTGCTGTAAGTAAATTCAGGGCAATTCTTTACAGTGTAATTGCCTTCTTGTCTGTCGTAACATTATGTCAGATTTTTACCTAAAACCCTAATCGATCTAAAAAATAATAATAATAAAGTACAATTTTTATGGTTGGATCTAAATTGGCTTTGACAGCCCAGAGGAATAAAAGGAAGCCATTACTGCTGTGATCCACAGGCATTTTATGCATATAAACTGCCTGGCTGCTGAGAATCATGTTCAGACAAAATGTAGCATGACAAAGTGTTCTGTCCAGAATCCTTTACTGCAAAGATCCATCCATAAACATGAATATGTTTCTTTCTTCCTTTCTTTTTTTAAACAATTTTTTGGTCTCTGGAAGTCTCACAAGATGATACAGTATTGAAATGCAAATGTATCAAATCAAAGTATGAGACACTACCACAAATGGATGGAGATGCATGATGGAGGCGCACTGTATACCAAATAGTCGTAATTCTATGTAAAATAAGGATGTTTAGCTTTCTAATTCTTATTTCAACCTGGCTTTTTGGAAACTAATTTCCATGCATGCCTTTTAAAAGACTTTCACATTCACAGTTTTCCCCCTTTTCCACCTTGCTAGTGGGTAAAATGTATGTCGAGATCTATGCCATGAGATTTTTTTTAAATAAAATGCTTAAAGGTTGAAAGGCTTTTTGAAAAATGAAAAATATTTAATAAAGGGTCCATCTGACTGCATTTTTGGCACAGATATGAATAAAAGAGGACTGATTTGTAATTACGTGTGTTTTTATTTATGTAAAAGCAAAGAGTTTAGCTTTTACTGGCAGAGGGTAGGTGTGGCACCAAATGTTCCAGCTGTGGTCACTTCCCGCAGTTAGATACACACAGAGGAGTGGTGTGTCATACATTTAAGAAGCATCAGTGTGGTGATACAGCCACAACAGAAAGAGAAACCAAGCTACTGTACATGCAAGAATAATTGGTGCTTTTATTGTCATTCAGCACCGTCTGTGTACACACAGTGAAAGAGCAGTCATTATTAAAATTCACTTACTTACTGAAAGCTCCTCTTCCTCTTCCATTTTCACAGCTAAAGGAGGATTCTGGGTGACATTTAAGAAATGTGATGGGAGTGACAGGACACACTGCGTGTCCTGATGTGACAGAACTGATTTGTGGTCAACAGAGATGGGAGTAGAGGACACAGAATCTGGGAAATCCCCACATGCTGAAGTTGATTTACATCTATAATTTGTATCCAGAGAAGACTCGCTAAATAGACTTGATATACTTTTCACAGATGGACTTGGTTCCAGTGATTTTGGTTGTGGATTTGGCTGACAAGACACCGGTGACAGGTGACACTGGGATTGGTTATCTGATAGGAGAAACTCTGGAACATGCAAGGAATGCTGGGATTGCTTTGGGGACTCCAGATTGCTTGGTGGAGACTGAGAAAGTTGTGGAGATAAGTTTGGTTGTACAGAAACATCAGGTGTAAATGAGGGAGGAGACTTTGAGGATTTAGGTATCTCAATTTGGGAATGTGGCAATGAGCCAGAAGACAAAAGCTGTAGAGATCCATGTTCAGCTTTTGGTTTGTGGACAGTGGGGGTGAAATCTTGCTTTTGTGACTTGGAGACCTGTGTCCTGATTGATGTCTTTGAAGTCCTTGGAGTCTCAGCAGTGGGGCAAGCAGATGGCTTAATTTTAGAAGGCAACGCTGTGCAAAAGGTAACACAAATATTAAGAATATTAGTCATAACACAAGAGAGTTTTTCATTGGTACAGAGATTATAAGGACTGTCCTTGACTCAGGCTACAGGCTGTAATTGTTCAGTACAGATTTACCATTAACATTCAACACACATGGTCAAATCAGCTTTCTCAGCTGAGATGCCCACAACAAATCTGAGGCGACATTCATTAAAGTCACGTTGTTGCCACACACAACCACAGGTTTTTAGCGCTGCATACGAAGGAGTACTCAGATTGTTTACTCAAGTGAAAGTAGCAATACCACTGTGTAAAAATACAAGTAAAAGTGTTGCACTGAAAATGTTACTTAAGTAAAAGTACAAAAATATTAGCATCAAAATATACTTAAAGTACCAAAAGTACATTAACGTATATCATATTATTGGATTATAATTTCTGATGCATTTTTGTGAGCAGCACCAAACTAGGTAATTTATAATTACCATAATCATTTCAGCAAACAGTGTGACATTACATGAAATGTAATGAAACAGTTCCCTAAACTGGAGCTCCTATCACAGGTGATGCATTCAAAGACACTGAATTAAAACCTGTCCAACAATACAGTTAATTTCATGATTTGTTTTCTACTGTAATAAATCAGCTTTAAATCTAAACAGTGCACCTTTACATGGTTTTAGATATTTCTCAGATTAACTGAAAAATGGGATTAAGAGTGCACCAGTCTAACACTGCATCTACTTCCTGTACAGAAAACTGTAAAGAATGCATTTATCTCAATCTTATAAAAAACACACAGGACTTACATTTCAGTGAGTGTGCTGCTTGTGAAGTCAGAGATTTAGATGGATAGAGCTTCTGAGTTGCTTTGGGCTGTGCTGCTGCAGTAAACTGCTTGGGTGGTTGTGCTGGTCTTGGAGAAGTGACTCTTGAGGACCCACCACTGGTTAGGTTTGTTTGGGGAACCAGTGTTCTTCCATTGCTGGAGACCAGCTGAACAGAGGGAGCCCTGCGTGAGGAACAGAGGATCGTGTGAGCAAATCTATAGCTACACAGAACTTTCTTCACACCTGCTATTCTTAAACATATTAACATTTTTGCGACTGCTGACAACAAACTCCCCAACACTGCTCTTTGTATTCTATGAAGATCTTCATGCCAAGAGGAACCATCTAATATGAGCTGACTGACTATGACAGTAATTATCTTCTCTTCCTTTGTCTCAAAAATACATGCAAAGTGAATTCAATCAAGTGGACACCTGCTGTTCACCTGATTGTTTACCAGCTGCTTGGAAATCTTCAGAGATTACTCCTCTACCACACGTACAACTTTTAGTGTATCACCTCATGCTTCTCCTCTATTAAACACCTACACAGGCAGTGAAAAATATTGAATAAATGATTGGATCAACTGTAAAACCAGGGTGTTTGAAATTATTGTAGGCATCATAAAAAACTTCCCCCGCATTAGAAAGTATGAATGTGCATCTATCTTTTTTATACCTCTAGAACACACATCTCATTACATACTGTATAAGATTATTTTCCAACTATTCTTCTAAAAAAATTCAGTATATACTCTATATAAAATAAGCAGGCCTTGAACTCACATATATTTCTCAGAGGCACACGTTGTGGTAATTTCTCTTCACTATATTCTGTAAGACCGAGGAACAAGATCTGATTGATAATAAATGGAGCTAAATCAACAGTTTTCAGAATTTTCTGAAGAATTCCCTTGTCTATAGATGAAAAGCCTTACTCTGTCTTACAGACAAGACACAGCAGGGTATAGTAGTCTGTTAAATGTGTGCCTTTTCACACGGTAAAGTTTGAATGTGGTAGATAGGAGATACTTTTTTTAATTGGGGCTTACGTTCTGTTGCCTGTCTTCTGTAGAGCAACAAAGACTCCATTTATGTCTCTGTCCATCTGTAGGAAACCAAAGAGATCAGGATAGTCACCTACAGTATGTGAATGCAACAATATGGAAAAATTGGAAATCAAGAACATGCAAGTGTATCTGAGACCTTGGGTGCTGGTGTAAATTTATGTGTGTTTATTCCACTGTGTACATTCATGCAGGCATAACATTTCTGTTTGAATAAACCGCCTCAGTCATGCTCACCTCATCTAGGCCTTCTATGACAAGGCACGACTCAGGTGGGGAAACACGAGGCTCAGTCCTGCCCCTGGTGACAGGAACAGCAAACAATGACGCATAGTAGTGACGAAAATCCTCCTCCTGAGCTGTAAGCGTACAGACACACATGCAAATCAGGACTGGGAAAGAGGGAGAGAAACATGCTTTGTGTTGCTTTGTGAAGAACCTGCTGCATTTGTACTGCTGTTATTTTTAAAGCTTAAAAAAAAGTTTAAAAAATATACAGTATAATCTCTCATTTGTAACAAAATAGATGAATTTCTTATTTAAAGATAAAATCATGACTGATTCAAGGAATCCCAATAATGTAAAGCATTTATCATTTAACGTCTGCACAGACAGACAATCCCAGGCTACGCCGGTGACCCCCTCGGTGTTCAGCCTGACCCTTAGGTCGACTCAACATTCAGCATCTAGCCAACTTGTCTACTGAAATTTTGCTATGCTTTGGTAGCAATGAAGGTGACCTTCATGCAAACTTGAATAAAAAATGATGGACGCTGCTTTGATAAGGCATGACTAGCTGAATAACATCAACCTTGTTTTTGTACAATTGAGCTTCTGCATTATCAGATACATTTTACATCAAATCTGTTTCTACAAATTATTTTTGTGTATTCTTCACCTCAATTAAAATGACCTCAACTTTCAGAGAGGTACTACACTGCACTGTCACGTTTGGCAATAAACTGGCCAGACATTTGGAGCTAGGTACTGTAATTGTTTTAAAATTAAAAAAAACAAAAATAAAAACAAAACAAAAAAGTGATAAAAAAATTATCACAGTATTAGACTAGCCAGTGAATTTTATTCATTTGAGGAGCCTTGAACTGTATATACTGTATATGCTACAGTAGCAGAGTTCTGTCTTTATAACTGGATAGAATTATGGTATTCATTCACTCCCATGTGCTCCTGAGTATTTTTCAGGTGCTGCTTTCAGCACCTCATCACTTTGGCCATTAGTACTAACAGCAAAACTTCTTTTCTTATAATCTCCTTCTCCAGGGATAAAAGAGCTGCACACTTGTTTGAGTCTGTATTAATTTATAACGTTCTTTAAGTTGAAAAACGTTGCCAACACAGCGAGGCATAAACGGCGGTGGCCCTGGGGAGGATGCTGCCCTGCTGCTCAAAGGAAAGTAGACATGTGGTCTGCCTGTATTTCTATCTTATTATTATGCGCATGTGATGATATCAGATAAATATCAAATAATTTCAGTTTGTACAGTTATTTATGAATATTCAAAATATTATAAACAATACTACACATTTTTATCCTGGCAATAAAAACAATAACACAGTATGGGCTTTATTTTCCTGCCAGTGTCACCTCAGATGCAGTCTTTATACAATTTTCTTTAGATGCAGGTTCATGTTGTTTTGCGCATTGGTGTGTTTGGTATTTTCCTGCCATGAATGAATGAATGCATTTATGCCGAGGTGGGACGAGAGGCACAGCTGAGGCCATGTTTATGATGATTAGGCAGGGATATAAGCTGTGTCTATTTTTGCATTTTTAGACAGTTTGATCCTGACAAGAGCAGTTGAAGGTTTAGATAAAGTGAGTAATGCATCTTCAACAGGTGGTGCTGCCACAGAATGCAATCAGTTTTGATACAACATCATAATTGCATTGATTATAATATATTTTCATTGTATTATATTTAAAACATTTACAAAATTACATGCAAATAACCTGAGACCACTGTGTATGTCACACACTGGATGCAGCAGCTGTGAGTAAATGGCGCTCTATAATTGCTGCTGGGTACAGGACAGTCTTCCTCGCCTCCATGCACAAATGCAGGTCAGTCATATTAAGAGACTACTGAATGAATATTTATGTGCAGTACTACAATAAATATTTTCCCCATCAAACTTTAGGAATACAGTACAGTATTGGTAGAATAAGATATAAGGAAAGAATCTTTTGTCGCTGATATACTTCTGTAACTCAAATATTTCCATGTCATGACATCAATATCATCAATCAAAGTCAGTTTTTTTATTACATGCTCATTTCAGGGAGAACCCCCTGAACTCCTCTGCTCAAAGTCAGGTTTCTGCAGTGCTTTTAAAAGAAATGAGAGGAGCTGGTTTGATTGGCTATTCCTAAAGCATGCCCTGACTCCAGCTGCTCATAATGCATTCCTCCTGCTAATAATGTTCTCTTCTCCATGTTGCGCCTGGGTGCCCCCAAAATGCACCAGCACAGTGGTCACTGAAATTGCAAAAGATTGTTGGGCACACCAGTATGCATCTTCGCCAGGTGTTTAGACTTGTGTTTGCCTATTTCATGAAAATAGAGCCCTATATGTTGAAAGCTGTTGCCTCTGTGCAACAGCCGTGGCTAGAGGCATTATGTTATTGGATTGTCTGTCCAGCCAGGCCATTCTTGTGAATGTGATATCTCAGGAACACATCGAGGGAATTTCTTCAAATGTGACACAACTGTTCACTTAGACTTAAGGATGACATGATAAGAATGTGATGGTCAAAGGTCAAGGTCACTGTGTCATTACATCTTCACTCGATTTTCTTTCTACCATTGTTTTACCACTGCACGTTACCCATCTCTGCCACCTCCCTATCTCTCTCTCTCTCTCAGGTGAACAATCATTCTATCACAGCACCACACGGGTCTGACAGCTAAGGAAAATGAGAATTTAAAACAAGGGGGTTCTCCCCACATGATGTCGGAAAACTGCTTTTATTATTCATGGAGACACGCGTAGCCCACCCTTTCATTTTCAAAGTCAGAAGAGAAGGAGAAACTCTGCAACCTGTTATAATTGGCATGTATTAGAAATGTTTAGAGCAGGTAGAAGGAATAATTTATCAGCTGCTGAACAGCTCTACACTTCCAAAAGACATTGCTGTCTTCCTGACATCTGCATATCAATAAGACAATGGAAAATAAATTATTAAATTGTGAACAGAAAAGTAAAAGAGAGAAATGAAAGTCATAATGTTAATGATTTTGTTTGTACTAGGCAAAGATAGTTTTATAAATGTGAGATGTAGATATCCCACACTGCAAAAAACAAATTTCAGGAACAACCCGCTCACTCACTCTCCTTTTTCTTGCCTACTATTTCACTGTTTTGTAATGCAGTCCTTCTTGTTCTAGGTCATACTAGAAGCAAAGGTTTGTCCAGAATGCAGGAGCTGACATTGTTTTGTTTGTTTGGACTGGAAGTGCAACCCATGGTTGAAAAGCAGGTATAACTAAAGATGCTGGGGCAAAGCTGCCTCTCTCTACTGTACTACTTAGGACACATGAGCTGTTTCAAGTTGTATCATGCTACTTTTTAAATGGATGTTTATGCATCACTGATTTATTTGATCAGGTATAAAGGAAAGATGCAAATGGCATTGTTGATTATTAATATCCATCTTAGTGCTTTAAACCACAAGGACACATTTACTAAGAAAAAAAGCCCAAACTCTAAACGTTTAATGTGCCAAACTGGTGTGGTTGCCTTGCCAAATACTGAACATTTCTTTAGGGAGGACAGGAAGCTATTTTGAACTTGAATACTGAAAGAAGCAACTATATGAGATAGACAGCTATGGGGAAGGAGGCAAGCAAGGACTTGCAGATCCTAACAAGGCCAGGATTGGAGAGAAACTTGATTGATGTGATGAGAGGCAGGTGACAACCCCAGGGTTCAGAGGTTTGGAAGGGGAGAGATAACCCTGGTCTACACATCTCCTGACAGCCTTGACCAGGCCAGTCAGCCAGCACACCCCCCTGACTGATGAACTCCAGCCCCTGAGCTACAGACCACAGGCTCACCCACACCCTCCTCTCCCTGCCACGTTCCTTACCCAGGCAGAGTGCAACCTGTCAGGCATGAGCTGCCTCAAACAGCCCTCTGCCCACACAATCACAGCCGGTGATTACCCGTCACACAGTCACAGATGAATGGGCAGGCACTGATACGTCTGACCCACTGAGAGAGAGATTTGTTCTTTTTTTTTTATTATTTTGCTAACATGTGTTTGTATGTGTGTGTGTGTGTGTGTGTGTGTGTGTGTGTGTGCAAGTGCAGGTCATCTGTCAAACTACTCTGTTCAAAGGTGTTTCTTTGTTTGGTGTTAGAGCCAATTTGGGTATGTGTATCAGAAAAGTGGCATTTACAACAGTCAACGCTGTTTGTGACAATTCTATTTTAGAGTCAGAAGGTGCTCATGGATGCAACGGACATGCGTTTATGGTTGTGCACATGTATTACCTGTTAGGTTGCATGCAGTCTCTTCCTCAGTGTTTGTGTTAGATACTGATTTTAGATCTGTATCCGAGGCCAGTGAAGTATGATAAGTTTCAACTGGTGTTCTGGAAACAAAAAAACAACATACAGTATATGCATTAAATCAATACATTAATATACATTAAAATTAAAGTAAAATGTAAACCTATGGTCACTAGGCCACACAAACAAACAAAACAAGGCCTGAGTAACAACTGCCGTGCTTTCCTCCTCTCAGCCCCAAGCTCTTTTTTTTTTGCTCCCTTATCCTGAAACCTAGATGGCAGAATCAATGGATGGAAGGATTGGTGGATACATACATACTTTCTGTTCTATTTTCAGATCATTCCACTGTATCCACATCTAAACAACACATACAGTGCCTGTGTCCTTCACATTATCCCTTTTTAATTTCCCCACCTTCATTCTCTTCCATCCTTCCCAGTCCAGTCAGGCCAATTAAGCATGGTCAGTGAGAGAGAATTTAAAAGCACCTCCAGGCTAGTCATACAAGATGAATCAGGGAAGGTACTTGTAGTTCATATCCTTTCCTTTTACGTAGTCCATATTCTTAAGCCTGGTTTGGCAAAATGTACCCAGAGGGTTATATTTAATCCTATCCCTCACATCTCTTTCCTTATCCCTTTACTCTATCCATCCACTTTTACCTGTAACAAAGTAAGCTACTTTTACTTAAGTAAAGGATGTGAATACTTCCTCTACTACAGGTGCTAATGTGAAAACTAACATGCTTTAGTAATACAACAGGTTGTAGTTATATGCTTTTTTAAAATCATGTTAATAATTCTGTTTATTCTTTAGGGTCAATCTAGTGCTGCAGTCCAGCTCAATCAATTGGCACAGTCACCTTTTTAAGGTCGTTGTAGTTGATAATAATAGTAACTGTGTAATACCGTATAACGTAATATGGTGAAACCGTAATATTTTCTGAGAACGTTAGCATACTGTGATAATCTAATACCGTTGTAACCCTAGTCCTACATAATAATAAATTATTTAGATTTAAAGAGACCTTCAATCAATGGAGCCTATAGTGGCAAAAGCCAATGCTGGTGGTGATGTATGCTTGAGGAAGGATTTTGAATCAGTACCAAATGACCCTGAATCCTGCAAAGAAGCTATAGCAGTAATCAATGCAGTGACAAATTATTTAGTCTCTCTAAAGGAGAAAATGTGCTATACAGTATAACTCCATATGTGCCATTCAGAGATACATTTTTGAACTGCAGTATTGGATGAATGGAAGGGGAGGCAATGCTCCACTATAAGATGCTTTCTAGCTTGCCATGCTTGCCATGCTTGTGATGTATCCCACAGTAATGCAAACTAAAAGCAAGCAAGGACTTAGACAGAGATGAGTCCTGCAACAGAACTTTTATTGCTGCTATATTTGCCTTGTGAACATAGGTTAGGTCAATCAAATCTGACATCTGCACCACAAGTGCTTAATGGAAGTCACTACATCAATCAGGGGTGACATTTCAACCATTATTCCATTATTCCAGCTTCTATTTCTACGAGCTAAAACTTCGTCTCTAAGTAACTCAGTGACACAGGTCAAATTAGCTGCTTCAGACCCATCACACCTGTTTTAATTTTCAAACACAACTGACAGCTTACAGAAAGAAAAATAAAGGGCTGTCTGCAGTCAGACCACCATGCCTAACTGTGTCGGTCTAATATTGTGGCTCCCAGATTAGATATTTCTATATGTCTAGAGTAAGCATGCTGTATGTGCCTTGTAAATGACCTGTACTACACTTTTTAAAAGTAACAATATGTCTTTTTCCTTAGAGAAGATATAGAGGAAAATACAGTATAATGTCACACTGGGGCAGATTTGGCATTTCTGGCACAATAGGTTGGGCACAGTCAGATCAGGCTTACAGTCGGGCCAGTTCAGATCTCAGTTCTATGCCTGCAATGACTTTTGTCTCAGGGTTCAGTGACTTGAACACAGATACTTTGACACTGGCAGCTCTGGAAGAGCGAGCATTCACTTACCCCACCCAAACTGCTCAACTAACCCAGGAAATCAGTCTGACACCCCCCTGGACACAAGCTTGCTTCTTGTAACCTGCAGGCCCCCAACAAATCTAACATGGTGGCAGAGTTTACAGCTCAAATATAGCTGAGCACTTTTAGCAAATTCTTCATTCATGCTCCTTCCTCCATTGACTCTCCTTTCCCATTATTATAGAAGGTTGTTAAAATCCAACCTCTTACTCTTTCTTTCTGCCAGCCAGCCAGCCAGTCACTCTGCCACAATCACCCCTGCAGGCTTATTGCACTCCAGATTGGCTCTGTGGTCTATTCCACAGCTAAAGACTGCTACAACTGGGGAGTTAGTGCATTCCGGCTCAGGCAGTCAGCAGGCCTAAAACAGCACTCTGCTCTCCTTTCCTCTGGCTTGCTCTCCAGTGGGCTACTCAACCCAAAAGGAGCCGCTTAAATAAAGGGCTGTAATAATGGACCTGCTGAAACCAGGCCCTCAGGCAGGGTACTGCACAATAAGTGTTGATACACTGCTTTGTACACTGGTGGTTTATGTAGACTGACTACAGAGAGGCAGGAGAGTGTGTTGGCAGTAGACGTTAGCACCACGCACCACAGACGTTTATGTTCCCAGCCATCATCATAGAGTATGTTCGCAGCAACATGCTCTATGACGTGTGGCATAACAATTGTTAATATTATAAAAACAAATACAGTATTAATAATTAATATGGAAAAATCCACCTGCTGTCAAATTCAACAGCATGTCAACAATGAATGCACTCTCTGGTTTAAGTCCTGGCTGGTTTCTGTGCTGCATTTTAATACTCTTTCTTATTGTCACCTGAACTAAACTGCTTGAGATTCTTATATTGTAAAAATTCTGACAGTACGTGTCATTGCTGTGGGAAGTCACCAATCTCCACAGCACTCTACAGTACAGTACAAATCTGACACAACAGTGTCACATATCAAACTTTCACCATCACAATAAACAGTAAACACTGTTATAAAAGGCACAATAAACAGTACATGACATTTGCTAAATGTAGCAGAGGTTACAGCACTTTTAGCTACTGTAAAGGCACAACGTGATGTCAAACAATTGTGGACAACCTCTGTTTTCTAAAGAAATGAATGATTTTGAACAAAAAAAAGAATGTTATCAGGCATAATAAAGGGGGAGAAGCACAACTTCTCGTGGAACCTTTTGTCTACATATATGGATGCTGCATACACATTGTTGTGTCTGTCTGTCGGGCTGTCTGCCTGTGTACCTGCGGTGCTTCTTGAGAAGCAATCTGTCCATGTAGGTAAGGCTGGTTTCCGTGAACTCCACCTTGACAGTTACCCTCCCTTCTCCTCCTCCAGCTCCTCGTCCTTCAGCTCCTCTGTCTGGAGGAAGGTCAGCCTGGGTCGCTATAGCTGACACTGATACTGGAGAAATGTGGAGAGGGCAAGATCACACAAAAATAAAGTGAAGGTAAGAGGAGGAAAACATAGCCAAAAGGGAAAAAAAGTCAGACAAAGGTGGAAAAAACAGCATGAAAACATCATCTGCCACCTTCTAAACACCTTCCTCAAAACACCTCCCCTCAAGAAGTGAGGAAACACCTTGTCACCATGCCAAAGAGTGCCAAAACACAAACAGACAGGAGAGAGCCCCTTGGGAATAAGAAAAAGATGTACACAAAACAAAAGGAACATAGTGAACGCATGAGAGAAAAGAGAATATAGAGGTAAAGACAGAGCTAAAGAGAAATGTTATGACTGTACTCCAGACACTTTGGCAGTCCACTGTGGCAGCTTTAAATTGGGCCTAGATGCCACTGGCCTGACAGAAATAATTAGGGCTGGGGAGGCTAGTGGCAATTTGCAGAGCAGAGCAAAGGGAGAGTGGAGCAGAGTCTGTCCAAACAGTAAAGCAGAGAAAATAGGAGGCCTAATAAAAAGCACAAACACCTAGACACATACACAAAGAACCTGGAATAATAGCACTAATAGTACACACCAACATAAACATTCACACAAAGACTGTTGCCCATACACACATGTAGACGTATATGTGAAAAAGCCTAAAAACTGCCTGATGCAGTGAAGCTTGTACACACATGCATGCACACAGCTGAGGCGATTAGTGCTGTGGTGTGGAGTAGGGCCACCCCTAACACTCCTCTCATTATCTCAGTATGCAACAGCCATGGATTACTGTCCTACTGCAGTGGTAAGCACTTTCTATAAGACCTTAACAGATCAGAGCACAGACAGGGAAATGGGGAACAGGAAGGAGGAGAGAGAAGAAGAGCTAAGGAGAGAGAGAGATGTAATGGGGAAGTGAGGAAAAGAGTAAAAATATTTTGTCAAGAATTATTCCAGGTACATAGTGTTGCATTTTCTGAGGGAGTCTGCAGTCAAATTTTTACTCCTATATATTCATTTTAGAGCCATACTGTAGCTACTTTGCAGAATTTGCTTTTAATTGCCGAGCAAAAAAAAAAATCATTAGATATGATACTCTCTATAAATACTCCACTACATGGCACCACTTGGAGCCTCAACACCATCACCCATCCCAGCATACACCATAAACTACATCTTAAAAGATTATTTAGATCAACACAATTTAAGCACTTTAACAAGGGAATCATCTGTTGCAAGGTTCTTGCTCTGGATCACATTAGATGGCACAGCACTAACACCCTTAAAGAGAAAGTGAAGGACAAAGTTAAAGCAGGAGAGGGTGGAAGCAGAAAACGCTGTGAGAAAGTAATTTGAAAATAAAAGATGGGGCTTATATCCTCATCATTCTCATCCAAAATGGCTGTTACGTTTAACAGTGAGATTAAACCTGGTGCCTCCAACTAAAGAATGGTGTATCTAATCTGCAAGTCACCCTGCTATTTGTTACCCAGTTATAATATAAGCCTTTTCCTGTGCGCATGCAGTTCACCTGGTTGGACAGGTATCCACAGGGGTTCTTCTGCTCCATCACTCTTCTCCCCTCTCCACTGTCTGAGAGCCTCCTGGAAAGATCTTGCAGACTCCTCCTCACTGTACTCTCCTCTAAGAAGAGAAGTGAGAAATTCACTCCTATCTTCGTTTTCCGGCTCCTCCTCAGTTTCTACCTTCTTCTCCTTTCCGTGATTCACGACCAACACCTGAAAAAAAAACAATATCCTTCACTGTGTATGTACAGTAGAACAAGGGTTTAGCACTAACATGAATTGAATAAGGGTCACAAAAAGCCTTGTTTTCTTATATGAACACACAAGCATCTAATTTGTACGAGTATGTGTACTGTGTACTTTACTTTTGCATTTCTAAATATTCATTTGTTGATGAATGCAAAATAATGGAAATGACAGTTAATGAGATTTACAATACTGCAGGTGTACTATTGTGTGCTGGTTGTAGACAAGCTTGACTGTGACCTTGGTTATAATTATGATGGTACACCTTTTAAAAGGGATGGGTAATTGCCTGAATGTATTTACATATTGTATTTTCATATCAGACCTCTAAAAATACTTTACCTAAGTAAGATTGAACAGCTAAAAATGCTGTACGCAGTAGATCTAAACTTCTCATGTCAAGTTTCTGGAAATCACGGTGAAAAAAATTTCTGATATATGGAACACATCATAGGATAAACAGAGATGCAAACCTATTTTAATTAAAAGAACAGATCTCAAGAATCTGGAGCAGGATATTTTGAATTTTTACACATTCAGCTTGTTAATGCTAATTACCAGGACTTTAAACATATGACCTTTCCTGATATGTACGGCAGTTGATGTAGATAGCTGTTGCTTCTCAGGTTGATAGACATTTGAAGTGACATCTGAAGATATAAGTTGAACAATAGTTTGATGTGTAAAGTATACCGATCTTCTCAGTACCATCTGACCCCAACTGTTCAAGTGACTGTTGTGTGAATAAGGTCAACTGTGCTCGGTGGTGTAAATAGTCTGAAATGTCAATCTAACTGTTCTTGCCAGACCCAGACTGTAGGGAGTCATTTTTCAGTCCAAAGGTACATGCAGTTCACAAGCCTGCCTGTAGATACAGCCTGTGGATATAGCGTCAATTAGGGTTTGTATAAAGCTTTTCCATTGATTCACAGGGTGCAGAGGTAAAATTCACACTGCAGAGGCTTGTTTGACATGTTTCTGCTGTATTGCCATAGCAGGCAAGCTGTAACTGGAGAAAAAATGTTATTCCAAAAGGGTCAATAACCATTTGAAAAAAAAAATACATATATCAATACCTTATACAGTCCCATGGATTCTCTAAACGTTTTGGAAAATGTATGTCTTAAATTTGTGCAAAAAATTTAAGTAATTTATTGCACCAAGTAAGTAAAATAGGGGGGGGGCATGGTGGAACAGTGGTTAGCGCTGTTGCCTCACAGCAAGAATGTTCCAGGTTTCAGAGCCAGCTGAACCAATGCCTTTATGTGCAGAGTTTCATGTTCTCCCTGTGCCTGCATGGGTTCTCTCAGGGTACTCCAGCTTCCTCCCACAGTCCAAAGACATGCAGCTTAGGCTGATTGGCAGCTCTAAATTGCCTGAAGGAGTGAGTGTGAATGTGTGTGGTTGTTTGTCTACATGTCAGGCCTGTGATAGACTGGCAACCCGTCCAGGGTGTACCCCGTCTCTCGACCAATGTTAGCTGGGACTGGCTCCAGGCCCCCTGCGCCCCTCTTTAGGATAAGCAGTATAGATAACGGATGGGATGGATGGAAATAAGTAAAATTTCCTACATCTGCTGCACATGTATAACCCCAAGTAAAATTTTCAATTAAAGATTTTGCACCGCAGTTGAGTGAGTTGAATGTTTTAGTCAGTTAACTGTGTGTATATGCTAAATTAAGTGAGTCTGTGTACCTCCACATAATTGTACCTTTTCATCCTCAACTCTGCCCTTGATCACGTATTACAGTGAAGTAAGAACCAGTCAAGTTTGCCTCCTACCTGGCTGGGATCAGAGTGCATTTGTTTGGGTTTTGTCGCAGCCTCTGGTCCTTTTTCTGGACTCTGATCTCCTGGTCTGGTATTTGCACTGTGCATGGGTTTAGGATTTGGACCGGGATTAAGCATTTTTGGTGTACTGGAAGAGGAGCTGTTGTTCATCTGTTTCTGGAAGCAGCTGACCACATCTTGAGTGCTCACATGGGTTTGTAGGTCTGTCTGTACAACACAATGAGTGAGGTAAATCAGAGTTGTTATTGAACAAAATGGCAACAGCTGGCAGTTTGTGAGAGAGATGTGATATGTTTTATACAAAAACACAATAAAATAGCAGGGAACTTAACTGAATCTGGAGAAAAAAAACTAACTAATGTGCATTTACTATATAAAAGCAAGAGATAATAAGGCATGATACATTGCATAAAAGCATGAGGCAAAACTGCATAAAATAACTAATTAGCCAGGCATTAATCAAACTAAATGCGATGGAAAATTGCTCCACAGTCAGTCTTCTAAAAATTTGTTTTTGTGCTTTAAGTTTTAAAGATTTAAATTATTCAGCTGGACTAAGTCCCTCTGGAATACTTCATCACTGGACCCTTATAGAACTGCTGGATCCCCTGTTCAATGTTTACATTACTGTACAGAGAAGAAACCCACAGTGTTGCCGCCATGTCTCCACTGCTTAGAAGATAAACCTGGGATTACCATTCTGGATAAGAAGCAAGACCTAGCATGTCCTGACAACACCTGCTGAAAGTGAATAGTGTCACTTATGTGATGCAAGTCTGTACTTAACAAAATCGTCGGCATCACAGAGAGCTGGGTTGACAACCTTCCTGTGTCCACAGCCCAGTGGTACACTGTAACTATGTTGAGATAATGACTGAGGGAGGATTTGATGGATCACTGATAGCATTAAACAATACCCTGTCAATGGCTCTTTAAACGCTCACAGATGGCTGGTCAAACTGGCAGCTTATCTTGTCTCTGATATGATCATCCGCCAGATAAAACTGCATCAGTGAGGAATCTTCTGGACTCTTTTCTGGATATCCCTATTCATCTCATTTCAATGAACATTCCTTGTTGTCTGCATTGTTTACTGTCTGTTTATACTGCTTATTCTGCATTGTTTGCACTGTTTGTTGCTGTCAGTTTTGCTGTTAATACTGCTTATTTTGTTATATTACACAGCCTTATGCTGGTTTACTGTTTGCACATTTAGAGCCGATGTACCTGAGTCAAATTCCTCGTGTGTCCATCACACCTGGCCAATAAAACTGATTCTGATTCTGATTCTGATTCTCCCATTTGTGTGGAACTTAACTATCCCCCAGACAGAATTGGACCATCTTTTGTAAAATAAATGTAAATATATTCCAGAAATATTCTGGCAGCCGGGGCACCAAAAAAAATACCATAAACTTATGGAAATCAACCATCTTCTTGAATCTTGAAAAAAAATCTTGAATCTAAAATTACAGTAATTTCCCATAATTTGAAATAGTTTTTCCTTTTAGTTTTAAACACACTAACCTTTAAAGCCCAGAAATGTGCCAATATTTCCCCGTCAGTAGTTTAAATGTGAAGTAGCCTAACATGTAGTCTGTTTCCATACAAGTACTATCACTTCATAAGTAGGTATCTTTCAGGTTTTTAATAATGATTACTGAAATATCACTGCAAAGACGGTTTACAGATATGTGTGATAAATGAATGGTACAAGCACTATAAATAGCCACAGATGTGCAGAGCATTGTGCATATTGACAGCTGTTGGAAAGGTCCACTGATGCGGCAAAACTGGTAAAACAACACTGCGTCTTTGAAGTTATTCTCACTGGCATGTCTAATGAGTCATGAAGCGTGCGCAGACATTGATATGCAGATGATGTTTAAGGGCGTTTCTACATCCATTTATTGAGAGAACTCTGGGAGTGAAAATGGTGCCAATTTTAATCAATGATTGAAGATTTATAAAAGAGAACCAGGTGTGCAGCACCGCTTTATACATCTGACAAAAAAAAAAAAAATACATTTGCATGTGTCTGTTTTTGTGTGTAAACACAGTTTTAGTTGTGAATCTAAACAAAGTTTTATGCATCTGGCCGCAGATATTCTCCCCTGCAGGACAGAAGCACCATCATTTATTTGATGTCTCCTGGTTAGGAGCTCTTTGTTTCTGCCTGTGATGTCTCATGCTCTTGAGCAGCTGTACACTGTAATAATGTCATTATGAGTGGATGAATCTGTATACACACAGTCTAGCAAAGACAGAGACTTGTTTTTGGTATTAAATATCTCTGGTCTCATCAGACATGAAAGCACACTGAAGCTCATTCAGTTACATGCTATCCATGTATTGAATTATTTCATTCTGTATCCTGTGGGAGAGAACATGCTCATGGCAATAAAATATTTAAGAATCAAATCTTTGTCTGCAAACAATCCCACAAGCCTGGGGACATTATCTTCTTCATCTTAACATCTTTTAGAAGGCAAACCTTTGCATTGCAAGATGTTTTAAACAGTGCAACTGCTGAAGACATCCTCGTGGCTGTTTCTAATTGTCATTTTGGTCGCTAGTCAACTGTGCTTACAGGTGCACATCAGTGGACATGTGCAGCCTTGGCACGCCTCGGGTTTCAGCTCATCAGATGGCATAATTGAAAGGGGCTGAGTCTGACAATCATTTGTAATTTTACCAAACAAGCCAATAATCATACCAGCGTCATGCAAAGGCCAGGTGTGCAGAGTAGACCTGGATCACAACCGTCCTCTAGAGCTGCCTGTTTTTTTTTTTCCATCAGTCATTTTTGTTTGTACAACCAAATGCCTTGCAGGATGACACAGTTACATGCTCTGAAAAACATGTCATTCACAACCTTAATGTGTGAAAACGCTATATATCAGGTTCATCCTTTTTTTTACCCAGAAGATAAGTAAAGGGTCACTGCTCAAACAGTAATGACTTAGCCACTATTTCAGGTCCATAGGTAGCAACAGCAGGAGATCACACTTATCATAAGAAGCACTATGTGGTAAGCCTACAGCTCCTTCATGCAGACCTACTGTAAGACCACTGGCTGAGGTGCTGCTCTGTTGTTGTGGTGTTTGCTATATCAAGTTTGGTTTGGATTCAGCTCTTCATCATTGCAGGTTAGTGTTAACTAGTTTTATCTGACTAAAGAAGTGAATTATTAATAAAAAAAACACACAAAAAAATGTAAACAACTGTTTTCATACAGTAGACCAACATTATTTATCTGATGTTGGACCCATTTGTATGTTTGGATATACTCTGCAACATCACTCGTCCAAAGCTGTCGTATTCAATGTTGAACAAAGTGCTTTACAACAACCAGATAAAATAGCAGAATAATTGAGTAGATAAAATTAAATAAAATAACAAGCCAATAGACAAATTTGGACTTAAAATCAGGTTAAGACAAAAAGAAAGTGGCAGGGCACTACTGGGAAGTAAAAGCCAAAGTAAATAAGTCTTTATTTTGGACTTAAAAAGTGCCAGGTCTGTGACAGAATGAATGCCAAATGGTAGAGAGTACTACAGTTTGGGAGCAGCCACAGAAAAGGCGTGATCACCCCATCGCTTATATCTGGATCTCAGGATCTCAAGCTTTGTCAGGTAGGAAGGGGCCAGGCCAATAAGGGCTTTAAAAGTAAACAGTAAAATTTTAAAATCAATTCAAAAACATGCTGGAAACCAATGGAGAGAGTAAGGAATAGGGGCTATATGTTCACGATTGGAGGTGATAGTTAAAAGGCAAGCAGCAACATTCTAATCGTTTTAGAGGGGAAAAGAAATCCCCTTGTCAGCAGGATAAACCAATCTGCGGACATCCACTACGATACCAGCTCCAGGATACTGTTCAGCTTTTACCTGCCTTTTTAGGGCGCAAGGGAAAATAAGATTTCCCTTTGGGACGCTACAGCATGCAAGCTGTGGTTTCTTAAAAACAGGATGAACACACAAGTAAAAGATACTTTATAAAACCTTTGTATAAGGTGTCACCCAAAAAAGTCTTTAATTATATCATTTTAATTCTTGAATCATTTAAGTAACTCGTGTGTGTGTGTGTGCAAAAGAGAGAGGAAGACCAAGAGAGAGAGAGAGATGGGTGAAGATAATGGGATTTCATAACATTAAATTAGCTCAATTATGCTAATGAGATTTAAAATAAAATACCTGGAATTAAATGAATTGCTTTGATACAGCACATCACACCCATCTGGCACAGGTTAGGCTAAATCAAATACAGTCTTTTGCAAACATTAATTGAACCAGGTATGTGTGTGTGATGCTGGACATGTGAGCAGATGACGCACTGATAAAGGCCCCTTTGCAGCGTACTGATGAATTTAATATTGTTTTTGTCTGTCAGCCTCTCTGTCTCTGCCCCCCCCCCCCCTAATGATTCCAAGGCAAATGAGACAGGATTAGCAGGGGAGAGAGAGATGCCTGCCTCAGCTGCATGTATATAATCCCAAGTCTTTATGTCCTGCCAAAATACACAGTTTCGTGTGTGAGAGACTGAATAAGAGTATGTGTGTGCTTGAAACTGTGAATGAGCTTCTAGTCATGCATCACAGAGATGAACACTGAAGAGATACAGAGAAAGAGTTGTCTTGTGTGGTTTCAGTTGTTTCAGTGTGTGCACTTTTGTCTCCGCCAGCATATATGGCTTAGTTCCACCAAGGTGGCTACCCAGTACATACTACTGTGTTATCCCCAACAGAAGTCAAACAGCACATGGACATGAACAAAGAACAAAAAACAAAGAGCTGTATATATAAGCTGAGCTACACTGTATAGTGCACTGTTCTATGCATGAAAACAACAAAAAAGCTTCTGTAGCTACACAAAAAGATGTAATGTATACACTGTATGTTGGAGCCAGCTAGTCCTCTATTGTCTCTAGCTTGTACAAAATGTTGCTGTTCAGCTTTTAACTAACACAGCCAGTTGTGATCATAACATGCCCATTCTTTATTCTTGATTACAGTCTGTTTTAGAATAGATTTTAATCTCCTGACATTAACTTTTAAAGCTCTCAATGGCCTGGCCCCTATTTATTAAATGGAATTATTACAACTTCACCGCTATGGTCAAGCACTTAGGTCATCTGGTCAACTTTTAGAAGTCCCCAGATCAAGATGTAAGTGATGAAGTGATCATGCCTTCGCTGTAGCTGCTCCTAAACTGTGAAATGCTCTTCCACCCAAACTTTCCCAGTAGAGTTTTTCCACTTTTATTGGTGTCGATCATCTTTATTTGTCTCTGTGTTGTCAATGTTAATGTTAACTGCTATATTTCTATTTTTATATCATTATCTTAACCAGGTGCATGTAAAGCACTTTGGTCAACTTTTAGTAGTTTTTAGGTGTTAAAATAAAGGTTGAGTTGAGTTGAGGCATAAATATATCATAGACATGTACACAAGCTCACTCAGTCACAAGTCTTTAGATGTACTGTGCCATATCCATGCACACTCACAAAGTGCACATCATAGCATGGTCAATTTCTTTGTGACTACAAACAATAACATGAAAAGAACCTAAAAAAAATCATCCTGGTAGGGAAAAACAGTATAGCAAGCAGAAAGCAGAAAATGCACCTAAGCAAAGACAACATGTAGTAACTACATAAGATATATTGTAGATACCAGCACATGCATAGTCTCAAGTCAGCAGTCATGAAGAAATACTGCGATAGAAAATGAGAAAAAAAACTGTGAAGAAAAAAATCCATACTGCAGTACACATATTAAAAAGGGGCTTTCTAGCTTGTCAGCTGCTGACCACGGCCAGTCATTTTAGTTTTGTTAGTCTAACTGTGAAGATGGGGTGGCTGCTCATGAGGTAGGGCAGTTGTCTCCTGACCAGCAAGTTGGTGGTTCGACTCCCGGTCTCCCCGCATGCCTAAGTGTCCCTGAGTAAGACACTGAACCCCGAATTGCTCCCGGTGGCTTGACTAGCGCTGGTGCATGGCAGCCTGTTGTCATCGGTGTGTGAATGTTGTGTGTGAATGGGTGTTGGGTTGTGTGCTTTGGCCAGTGCAACACACTGTGAGAATGCGCTATATAAAATACAGTCCATTTACCATAATGACTTGGTCTTGCTACTGATTGCTACTACTACTATCATGGTCTCCATACCAGTTGAAGTGTGCTATACTGGTCCAAAAAAGGGACATTAGCGGCCATGTTCTTCTCATTCTGGTATAAGTTTCCATGTGTCCATTTCCTTGTTTCCATGAATCTGTGGCTGAGCAATGAAAAACAAGGGCAAGATGTGCCTAATAACCTACATCATTTAGTTGAAATCTGATACAAATTCCATTTCATTTATCAGTAATTTGAATCCATATACTTAAAGTGTGTTTTGACAGCATATTCTATCTCATTATGAGTACTTGGTTTAGCTTCGGATAAATGGGCCTCCTCTAATAAAAATGCTTTCCATACAAACTTAGTTTAATTGGCTATTGCTCATAAATACAACCCATTGTTCAAGTGTGTGTGTGTGTGTGTGTGCATGCATACAAAAGTGAGACGGGTTGCAGATGCAGATAAAAGGGGGGAAAAAAGGGGGGGATGAGAGGTTGGGATAAGTAGCTCCTCTAGTGAGGGATGCAAAAAATAATGAGTGAAGCAGAAAGAGAATAGGATCAGAAGAGACATTATTGAAAGTATCTGTGAAAGAAAAAGAGAGACAGAGGGAAACATACAGAGAGACTCACAGAGGAGAGGAGACTGAGGCTTGATGCACATGGAACCACACTGACCTGAATGGGGATCATTCTGTGTAGTTGCAGTGCCCCCTTCTGGTGAAATCTGACAAAGCAGCCAACGCAGTAGTTCTCTGTGCATTCAGCACACATCTACAAAACAATTACACAGTAAGGTCAGTGTGTGTGTGTGAATATGTGACAAATATGTGAAGATTTGTGTGTTTATGTGCCTTAGAGAAGCAAAAGTAAAGAAGAGTGATTATGTATGTGCATGTGCACATGGGTCTAACTATCTGCAGTGAGAAGCAGAAACCTTAGTAATACTTGTTAAAAAGTTAAACCTGAAGCCGGATGTCTTTTCCTTTCCTCTAATTTCAGCCTTTCCAAACAAACTTGACAGGAGAGATGAATAGTGAAATGAAGTCAGGCTGGTCCCCACAACATAGTTTGGGTGTAAGGTTAGAGCAAGTGTAGGCTTTGGTTAAGTGTTAGGTTAAGGGTTAAGGTTAGGCAAGTAGAAGTTCTGGTTAAGGTTAGGGTAAGTCTCTGGAAATGAATGTAAGTCTATGTAGGGACCCACTAAGTAACAAAAACAAGGATGTATGTGTGTGTGTGTGACTGAGAAATAGAAAGAGAGAGAGAGAGAGAGAAACAGAGTGGAGGGAGTGCATCTGTGCTAGGCGTGTGTGTGTTGTGTATGTGAATATGTGTGCATGTGTGAATGCGTCTTAAGGGACGTCATTATCATTTCTATCTGCAAGAATCCGGTCTTATTAGTGTGGAAAAGTCCTTGCATCAGCATGTTGGGGAGATAGGCCTAGACTGGGTGGACAGAGCACACAGGCGAGGTCAGGAGGGGTGGAGACAGCGGATGAGAAGGGAGGAAATATGGAAGAGAGGTTGGGAGGTGGAAAAGGACCAAAGCTTCTTAAAATTCAAGAAACAATAAACAGTATAGAAACTATCATCATTCATTTGGTTCCCTTCATTTGGCATGCAGGTCTTATTTTTGTCATGGCCCACGGTTTCATCATCAGTTTCATGTCAATTTCAAAAAGTTAAGTTTAGTGCACTCTGTGAAGAAAAAGCATAAATTCTACTTATCCGCGGGGGGACCGACAGTGTGACGTATTTCTGGAACAAATGGCTTTGAACCTGCCTTCTCAATGCCTTTCTTGCTCACTTGCATATTTGTTAATTCTTCACCTGTTTTTGCACTGCTTATTGCAACAGATAATTTAGCAAAAGAAGATAATACAGTAAACAAAACAATTCCCTGTTCCATACAAATGTATTATGGTTCAACAGGGGTCTGTAAACTTCTACAAACAGATTCACCAGTTAATTCTGCACCTTTTACTCCTCTTCTTTCTTATGTTCTCTTCTTTTTTGGATCTTTATCATCTATTAATTAATGCATTTGTATGTAACGCAGTGTTCATTCTTTTTAGGAGTGTGTGTGTGTGTGTGTGTGTGTGTGTGTGTGTGTGTGCACGCATGCACATGCAAGCCTACAGCTGCGACACTGTCCTTTAATGGTCCCATAAAGCAGGGCCTCATTTCGCCTCCCAGGCCTGAGAATAAAATACAGCCACTCCCTGGGGACAAGGCATCCCCATCAGGCTGCAAGCGGCATATCACTGTGCTCTCCTGTGCTACAGAGAAGGAAGAAGGAAATGAGGTCCTTTCTTTGCCTGGCTGACTCTGGAATACAGCACAAGGCCAGGAGTGTGTGTGTATGTGTGCACGTGATTTTGGTAAAGCCTGTGCCAGTATGTGTGAGTCACGGTGTACAACAAAACAACCCCTGATGTGTATATAGTTGTGCCTTTGTGTGTGCATGTGTGTGCACACTGGTGTGCTTAAGTGCAGTTCCAGACAGAATGGCAGAGACAGAGTCATAACGCTTTCCATTATTGCCATCATTATAGGGCACAAAAGCTATCCAAAACCTGTCTGAGTGCATGAGTGGACTGTATGTATGTGTGTGTGCATTTAGCCTATGTGCTTGCCCAGACTGCTATACGCACTGCCATTAAGCCCATCACTATAGGGCACTGGGGGCACTGGGTCCTTCATTGGACAATTCAGCACCATCATCATCAAATGTGCTATCAAGCAAATTACCACATTACATTTTAATGCAATGTCTGTGACGCATTTACAAAAACTTGCACTCAAAGGGGCAGAAAAATGGTGACGGTTAGCATCAGCTATTCAGCGCTAAACTCTGCTGGCTTTGCAGTCAGACATAGGATAGGAGTGACACATGATTAGCTGAGGATTTAGAAGTTGCAGTCCTGACAGCAACTGGCCATCAAGCATGCATTATTCATTGCGGTTTGCCACAGTCCATTATACACACACACTATACTAGGGCTGGACCCAAATATCCAACTATTCAGATTTTCGTACGTTAGCTAGGTGATCAGTTTTCAACTTTAGTATTCAAATATTTGAATTTCATTAGCTTTTTTGTTTTATAACCCAAAGTACATTCCAAGTCCCAAAAACCAGAGTTGGTGTCCGAGGTTTGGGTCGGCAGGGCACTCGGCCCTGGCCACTGCCCAAAATACAAGGCTCTGCTCGGGCTACTGCCCCCGCGACCCGGTCTCAGATGAAGCGGATGAAGATGGATGGATGGAAGGATGGAACCCAAAGTACTGCCAAATGGACAATGAGGTACTTTTAGGTGAAGCACAGCTCATTAACACACACACACCTGCGGTGAATATTCGAACATTCGTCGATTGTTATCACCAAATATCTGGAGCCCAAAAACTGGCATTCAGGACAGCCCTACACTATACATGCATTTCCCTCCCTGTCTCTCTTCTTCCACATACAGTTGCAGGCCGCAGTCCCTCCTACTAAGCAGTAATGTATGATGACCAACAAAGAATAAACAATGGTGCCCTCAGAGGTCTCAAGTATCAATAAATGGATTCTGCTAAACTGTTATCAGTGCAAACACATAGACCAACAGATTGGACAGTAGAGGAATGACGAATGAAAGGCAGAGAGAAGAGAGAAAAAGACAAGACTGAGGGAGTGGTGAAAAAAAGGTGCAACAGGTGCAGAGGGAAAAAGGGAAAAGGAGGAAAGATGTATAAGTGTTATAAAGAAGGAAAGACAAGTAACCACATAATGCAAGGAGAAAGAGCGAAGAAGGATGGGAAACAGAAGGTATCTGAATCACAAAGGGAGATTACAGCTGACGTAGGAGGAAGGGAAAGATCAGAAATATAGGAAAATCAGACAGTGAGCAGACAGTAAAGTACCAGACACAAAGATGGACAGATGGAGAATAATGGACAAGTAGAAAAAAGACAATGGAGGGGAGAGAGAGACAGAGAAAGTGAAAGATTCTGCATTTTAGCTACAACTACTGTATTTGTCATTTGGCTCCATGTGTTTTTAACCAATATCAGTGTCTCACACTGATACTTTGCACTATCTGTGTAAAGTATCAATTTACAAATAAGCTCAAAAATATTTTATCTGAGCTCAGTCCATTAACATTAACAGATGGTAAAATGTCAGTTAGTAGCATCTGATCCCTCAAAAAAGCTGATTTCTTTTGTCTCATTGGAAACCTTCAAAAATGTGTTGGGGTGGTGCTTGTTTTTGGTTTTTTTGGTCGGGGGAAAAGCTGAGTGTTATTATTCTCTATACAGAGAGGAAATAATTCAAGTCACCAACAACAGAGTTACAAGACTGTAGAGTGGGTCGTCTCCAGAAATTTAGCAGTTCGATTCCTGGCTTGTCCACTCCACATGTTGAAGTGTCCTTGAGCAAGACACCCCCTCTTGCTCCTGGTGATGTTTCTGGTGCATGAACGTGTGAGTGCTTGAGAGTGTGAATGGTCAAATAGTGTGAAAGCACTTTTGAGCGTGCTGCAGTGCATAGAAAAGTGCTAAACAAGTATAAGACCATTTACAACCATAGAGTGTATTTTGTGTTAGTTTGTGTTCATACTATTCCAGCTGTCTTGACTTCACACTGTCCGCAGACTGTTCCCCTGAGCCTGTTTTTTCTTGTCGTCCGAAGACCAGTGGTAGGTGCCAGTGGTGGAGGCTGTGGCTGTACTGGGGCTAAAAAAAAAAACAAGTTCGCTGGCATTAACACTTGGCAATGGGTTTCATTTAACATACACTGACATTTAAAAATATTTATATGACTGACTACCTCACTAGTCTAAATATAATAACAATCTATGAAAAAGGACAATGTCTATGAGAATCAGAAGTACTTGTTGCTTCTGTGCAACCAAAATGTCAACATTTAACATATTTATATATCTGTTTGGAAAATTTTGCCACTATTGTGAAATGTAATATATAGTAAATAATAAAATGAAATAATTATGATTATTTTTATACAACCAAACACAGTCCTTATAAGGCTGCATTTACTGTTGCTGTATGCTTTTAACATGTAACATTGGCACATCTTGATATGCAATGTTATGCCTCAGGTTCATTCAAAACTTTAATAATTCTGCCAAGGCTGGTTACTGGTTAGAGAGTAACCTGACAGAGAACTCCTCAGTCTGGCCCCTGTGATGGAAAGTGTCAACCTTAGTGAAATAACTGCACCAGTGTGGATGATGCTCTGTAGCTGCTTTTGAATGCTAACCGCCACATGGAGGGTTAAAAAGAATTTCACTACAGACGTGTGTATCAACGCACCAGGGCTTATTGAGTATGCATCCTCGTCATGTCTACACGGTGTAGGTAACTCCCAAAAGAAGCTGGGTTGTGGCAGTGAACTACTCACCTGTCAGTGGTTCATTCTTCAGCACTCGGATCTTCACTTTGCCTGTTGACAGCTGCTGACGAGACAGGGGAGAGACAAATCAGTGGCAACAGTTGTGTAAGCTTAGCTTCCTAACACTCCTGCACAGGTCGTCTTTTGGATTATGTGTATCGGTACATACTGTATGTTTGCATAACTGTATGTGAACTACTCTGTGTTCATTACATTATAAGCATTTTTACATTGTTTCAATTTTAAATGTGCACTAAACACTTGCAACACAGGGTTTCTTGGTATATATTTTCAATCTGTGTAATAAAATTAATTAATTTATACTTGTTACATACCCACTTGTCCATTCTTCCAAGTGGGTATGTAACAGCAGGGGAGAGGCTCTGCTCAAACTGAAATGATGAGAATGCAGTCGCGCTTATTCTTTTTTACACCCCAGGAAGTTGTAAACTTTAGGAAATTAGTTAGTTTTTTGTGTAACCTCAAACACATTAGGTGGTTGAGAGTTTTCCCCTGAAAACCAGTGCACTAGTTTCTCAAGTCTGTTACTGTATGTACCTCACATCACAGGAGTGGTAGTACGTTTTTAATATTTTCATGGGTGTCGGCACATGGTGCATGCATGGAAACAGGAAAAGGCATCTAATATAGTGCAGGCAACCCTTAATGCCACGACACACCAGAACCAGCTTCTCAAATTTTAAGAAATCAGTGAACAAGTACTGCGCTTTAGTTTCTAATAATAATCAGCATGTATCAATTGCACATGCAATTGTACTAACATAAATGAAATGTATGAATGCACAGATTAACGTGACTGTGTCATGTTAAACAGGACGACACAAAAACAAATGTGAGCTCACATGCACAGATACACATCACTGTCATACAGAGATATAGAGAAAGATTTCTCTTGTACCTTCTGGAGTCTGTTTTCCTTGTTCTTCTTAGCACTATTTGTCAGGGCATTGCTGTTTAACGAACCGCTGTGTCCAGACTTCCATTTAAAACCTCCTGAGTGCCTAAAAACAGAGGCCAAAAGAGAAATCAAGATTTTTCTTCTTGAAATACAGCCCATTTGAAATTGACAAGCATAACTTATCGAAGAGTATAACAGCTACAGTTTGTAAAAAGTGAAACAATGCAGTGACTGCATCTCTTCCTTGTTATATTTGCTTATTTTTAATTCTTTTTCATAAAGACATATTTTTTCCTGTATCCTTAATGTAACAGTCACTCTGATATTTATTCTTCATAAGAAGATCTGTGTATGGGAGCTGACAACAAAACAACTCAGATTCTTCATTAATAACAATATGCAACACAGACAAACACACTGAGTCACACACAAATATTTTTTAACATTTTTCTAGGACACATTCATATTATACAGTACTTGGTCTAACTGTTCATGCAGCTTACATTATATACAGTATAAAACTGTGAATGAACAAAACAGATAAACACCTTTACATGTCCACAGTAAATAAAAAACAGAAAAAAAATCACTCTCAAACTGTATTAGACCTTGATATTACTGTATTTAAGGTTAAAGGGAAGGCATTTTAAAAACAGTGTCAGGCTTTAAGTTAAGAAGGACCTAATGTGAAGGAAATAGTAAAATAATATCAGCATGGAATAGGTGTTACAGCACCACATAACTAAATCTAACTCCCTCAGCCTAAACCAATGGGAAAAAAAAAGAATTTCAGAAAATCAGTTTGTTCCATTAAATAGAAAAGAGGGTTAAATCTATCTATACTTCTTACTTTGTTAAGAGAACACAGAACAAGCAGGGAACATATTTTATGCCAATTTACGTTTTTCATATGGGCCTAAATTTTCACATTACGTTATACATTCTAAGACCAAAAGGAGGTTCTCCATTTCAAAACAGACAGTGGATGCCCATTGAATGTTAACAGAACATGAAAGGTTAAAGAACTTACATCTACTCAAACATAAACACACACAGATGCAACTAGAACATGAACACACGTGTGCACACAGACTCACACCGGACGCTCCCGTCGGCTGCAGAAGGTGAAGAAGTCGAGTGGAATCCTCATTTAGACATGACTTATTCATGCTCATGTCGTTGAATTATTTATGCTATTTATGCTATTGTGATGTCTGGCTGTCTCTGAAAGAAGTTTATTTTGGACCAAGCTGGAAGCCTGTTAAGGCACAGGAAGTCAGAATCTATTTGTGTGTGTGAGAGTGTGTCTCTCTGCATCTCTGTGTGCGTGTGTGTATATGTGACGGCAAGAGATCCCAACACCCCTGACACTGTTGCTGTGCTGTGCTGATGCTGAGAATGGGTGTCAGGTAATCACCCTGGCGACATCACCTTGGCAACTGAACTGTCGCTAGGGGAGACAGTTGAGGCACACCCTTGTCAGCGCAGGATGACAGGGTGTCCCCTCAGGACAGGCAAGCTGGAGAGATAAAGTGCGTGTTAGTGTATTTCTGTGGACTTTGCAATAACAAAGATCTCATTATCTACAGTAATCCACACAGACACACACTCTATTACACCTACGCACCTACCCATGAAAAAACACACTTCAAAATAATAATGGCTTTAAGTTGTTTTTAGAAGCATACAGACACATTGCCACAGTCAGTGTTCCCCTGTCTTACAACCCACAATTATACTGTACACACACTTCCACCTCAGTCTATTACTGCAACTGTGTGTGTGTGTGTGTGTGTGTGTGCGCATTGTTGTGAGTGTTACAGAGAGATTTTTTGACATCAGTCTATACAAAGCAGCGCAGCAGCGCAATAACAGCAACATGCAGTGACTATACCTGTTAAACAGAGAAAAGAAATATATTATAAACAATCATCAGATGTGACACAAAATGCCAGCTCATCAAAAAAACATTTCTTTATCAAAGTGAGAAAAAAACAGTGAGGAGTATAAGTTCACACTAGCTTAAAACAAGTTCATATCTCAATTGATATACAAATATATTGCAAAGAAAGGAGAAACTTCAAGCAATTCAATTTTAGGCCAAGGCACGCACCACCTGTAAACAGCACCGACGAGCCTGCCTAACAAAGAGACATACACACAGCTCTTAGCTACATTTACAATAATTGGCCCATTTCACCCAAAAGGAGGACCTGTTGACATCTCTATCACATAAAAAATGCACACACTTTGAAGTCAAATGCCAAACCAAACGTCTATACCCTCTCTCCCAGCTCAAGACGAGAAGACGGGGCCGAAACAGAGAAGGTTGAGACAGGAGAGGAACTTCTCAAAGGCGTGAAAGACTCAAACGTGGAACTATATAAACACAAAAGTTAACCTGTTTTAGTCAAGCACGAGCAGTGTCAGGTCACATACAGCCTGAAAGGGGGGCTAAGACTCAAACTACACCTATACAGAAGATAAAACACAAACTGTAATGAAGGAAGCTATAAACAAATGTAGTGCAAAGGAAGCAGGATAAAGGGAACCTCAGTGGCACTTTTAGATAACGCCAGAGCTAGCATCTGTAAGCTGTCTAGGCCTAAAGACAAAGCTGCATTAAATATGCGATTCGGGCAGACCAAAACAGAGAACAATATACTGTGTTTGCCCCCAAGCCGCCAGTCTGGCTGTATTATCGCCTGTGTATTCTTCACAAACTGATTGTACCACACCTCCTCTCAGCAAACTGAATTCATCCACCTATTCTTTGGGTGTATACATAAGAGTGCGATTGTGTGTGTGTGTGTGTGTGTGTGTGTGTGTGTGTGCGTGTGCGTCTAGTAGCCCATTTTAAGACAAAGGTGACCAATTCATCTACTCTGGGAGCTCTGCAATCTAAGAGACAAGCAGAGAGAAAAAAAAACCGTTGTGCATAAGACAGACACACAGTGCACTGTACAGCCTAAGCATAAATCACAGTTTGAAGATCTAGAGTAAAGACTTGTCAAAGATACACTCCCATGTTCTGAGAGGAAGAGACTGGCGGGGGAAGAAACTAGAACACATGATTAACCACCAAACCCTCGTCCTTGTCTGCTTTCTCCCATGTCAGTCAGAGAGGAACTGATGAGAAGTTGCTCCCTCGTTTTTATTAGAGGTGAACCAATCAACTGATTCAAACTGTTAAACTGGGTTTCACACGTAAGGCACTCCTGCATCCCTGAGCACGGCTTTAAAGGTAGTAGGGAATTGCAGGTACATTAATGTGGAGTTCAAACATAACTAGAGTTGCTGCTTCGTGGTTGTATGCCACCCCCAAATAGTCAATTGACAGAAATAGATATGCATGAGGTCATTGACCTTGACCTTTAATGTTTGACCACAAAAATCTCAGTTTATCCTTACGTCCAACTGGACACTTGTGCCAAATTTAAAAAAATTCCCTCAAAGCCTTCCTGAGATATCGCGTTCACAAGAATGGGCTGGACAGATGGACGGACAGCCCAAAAACGCCTCCAGCCGTGGCTATCGCCATGGCCAGAGGCATAAAAACCTGATAGGGAGCGTATCTGCTGTATTTTACCCCCTATCCTCGACTGCTCTTCTTAAACCCAATTTGTGAGTTTTCAGCTTTACATCTCCTACAAACTTTTCGCCTCCATCCTCTAACAACAACACAAACTGGGTTTTGAAAAACTGATTTCATAAAACTATGTTAAATTTGAAAGGCGGTAGTTAAATATAACGTCATCTTCTGACCCATCTCAACAGACTTGTGGTACTATCTGTGAGTCCCAGCTTCCCCTTTTTATCTGTACCCAGCACTAGAAATGAAAAAGGTGTTAAAAACATTCTACTGCACAGTCAAGACTGATTAGTGACACCACTGCACATGAAAGCAAATCAACAGATCATTATTAATCAACAATGGCCTGTCTGCTGAGAAAGGTTAACTCGTTTTCCTTTCTAAACCACAGAAGCTGTGCTAAAACCTTTTTACTTGTCAGTGAGTGGGCAGCTTTTCTATGAATCACACACAAATGTAAAGTCTTTGCGTATATACACTGTAATACTTCAAAAACACGGGGCTTAAGCAGTGGACTTTTCTTTACAGATTAAGGAGCAGAAGACAGGCATAACCAAAAACACGTAGTTCCCTCTGTAACCTGCAAAGTGTTCAAAATACACACAAATGCAATTGCTATTATTTATGGAGGACTAATATCAAAAATACACACACCTTGTCGTTTCTCTGGGTTGGTGGAGCGGTAAATGTTGCCGTATTTCAGTGTGACAAGAAACACTGTGTTTATGTGCTTATCGTTTGTGCAGCCTGGACAAGATGGCCCTCTCCTCATACTGATGTATAGCTTCTTAATTAAGACTAGGCCTTCACTGAGTAGTACTCATATACAGGGACACACATACACGCAACACAAAACACATCTCCTATAGCAATAAATTAACCAACCTACAATTATAATCTACAGTATGCATTCCTTGTTTGTAATGATGTATGAATTTGAAGCAACAGAAATACATCATGTAGAAAGAGCCTCTCATCATACCTCAGCTCTAAATCACTGATGTTGTAATTGGCTGTGCTGTCTGTAAATGTGTCTGTGTGTGCCTTATTCTGGTTGTTATCTGAAAGAGTCTCTTTGTAATATACATGTGTCCCCGAGCTATGTGCTTATACTGTTCTCCATAGCTTCGCATTTGGTAACACAACTCAGAGTCAGTGTATTACGAAAATGAAATGAAATGAGGTGAACTGGGAATGGCGAATGAAACAATCACATTAACAACCAGCGTTTGTTTTCGTTCTGAAAATTAATTTCCTATTCACTCCCCTCAATGTGAATTTGTTTGGTAATAGTCATAATAACGGGCCAGGAACATACTCTGTAATGAAATGAAGAGAGCAAATAAATAACGTTGTATTTATGTATGTGAGTAAGCTATCCATTATTTTTTTAAATTAATGTGAAAATGTGCATGTAAGATTTTTACATTTTTAATAGCCTTACACACAGACAGTCAGACACAAAATAGTAATAGGCCACTATTAATTTGTGGCACTGTAGCATGTGTTTTGATGTTCCTGTACACTATATGAATGCTGCCCCACTGTACTTACAAATGATGTGAGACCCAAGGTTTTAATAATTTTTCACCAGATATGTACAACTGTGTTTATCTCTTAGTGTGACAACCTTTTTCCATAACTCAGTTCATGAATGATGCCCATAAATCAGCTAGAGTAAATATGACCTTATGACAGTCAATGCATTTCTGACATACAGGCGGGTGACAAATGAAAGGAAAACCCAAAATAAAAAAAGCATAAAATGACTTAGGAAGGTGTTGGACCACCAGAACAGCTTCGATTCACCTTGACATTGAACTCTACTGGAGGGGTGAACACCATTCTTCAAAAAGATATTCCCTTGTTTGTTGTTTTGATGATGGTGGTGGAGACACTGTCTAACATGTAGTTCCAAAATGGTCCATAGGTGATCAACTGAGTTGAGATCTGGTGACGGTGAAGGCTATAGCACATTATTCACATCATTTTCATACTCACACTTCACTGCCTGACTGCTACAACTGTCTCTGGCTGTAGTGACCACATATGACATAGTTTCAGACACTTATAATTGGTCTTTGATAAGTGAGAATAAAAACAGAACAAAAGTCTGGTTTTATTGCTTATGATCAGTTTGCACAGCATCGTGAGATGCAGACCCGGCCTTTAAGGGAAGAAATAAATCCACCTGTGACCGTGACTTTGCTTGACTGTGTTCTACTGGAAATCTTATACAGTATGTTTGGGTGCATTACTCTTCTGGTTTCTGTTCAGTCATCCCTTCCCAGTGTCGTGTTACCTTAGTTGTGACTCTTGTTTACTCTCTGAATCTGGTTATTGTTTGCTCTGTGTTTTGTACTGCTCATCTATCCTGCTGCGCTGGAGACTACCGGTTCTCATCTTTGCCATTTTCTTACTCACATAGTTGTGTTCCTTACCTGTGAGTGAGTTATTATTGTTTGCAGCCTTAGTTTAATTTCTGCCCACGTTTTCTTTTGTATGTTTTGTGTTAAGCCTGAAGGTCTCCCAGCCCAAGGTTACCTGTGTGCTCTGTGTTGAGTTTTTGTCTGCAAGCTGCCACAGTATTCACCTGCCTTGTCTTAGTTGTCCATAGTAAAGCCCTGTTTCCTTTCACTACATCCCTCTTGCTTCATTGTTTGCACTTGGGTCCCACATTAAAATCAAAATTCTAAGGTGTGACAGCCTCACTGCCTTCTGTCTCCCCATTAGTCACATGCACTGTTCCCCACTGCATGTGTGACTTGATGTACATCTGTTGTACACTGTACATCTGTTGTACTGTTCATTTATATTTCAAGCCTTTTATTTCAGTTACTGTATTCATTCTTCCTGTATAGACTTTCTCTCAGCAGTCATCTTCTCCTTTCAGTTCTCCTTCTTACCATTCTGTCTTTTCTGATCCCTTGTAATTCCTGGATTCCCTGTGTGTCTTTTCATCTCTCCCCATCTGTCACTTACCGCTAGTTTATTTTTGACTGCATGTTCTCATTCCAAAGTGTTGCAACCCTAACATGTTAAATGTTGGTGCTGTCATCCAGCCTTGTGATTTAACATCTAATTTCCTACACAAGGCTAAATAAAAAATTCTCAATATGAGCTGCCATTTTTATTTGTGTGGGTGTTACAGGTCATCACAACTCTTCAGTCAGTTTCATTTGGTTACACCTTCCATGATTTTTTTTTTTTTTGTCTTGGACAAGTACCTATTTAATTATAGCTTACAAAGAAAAAGTAGTATAATTTTAGGTTTGAAAAAAACTCAAGTGGAAAGTAGTAGAGTCAGTTGAAAAGATTTTATACAAGTAAGAGCAAGAGATAACAGGACCAACTTAACATATTCTTTATTTTTAAAATAAAACTCTTAAGTAAACTGAAAAATATGACAAATTGGCACGTGCTGCTGAAACAGTCAGGCCTGCAGATCTGAGTTAAAGTGTTGGACAGCCAGACAGGCCAACAGATGGACAGCTCTATCCTTAGAGCCCTGTCGCTAGAGGGCTTTACTACATAAATTCTCACAAAAGTCAAACCACAACACAAGGAGCAGGAAAATTATCTGAGCGGTATTGAAGTACTGAAGTTGAAACTTGATTCAGGAGTGTGAATCTCCCCCTTGTGTGTTTTCTGTTACAGCTGCTGTAGCCCATCCTGCACATATTTTTGCACTCTCCTCTCTTTCTCTCTCACTCAGCACTCCTCTCATCCCCTTCTGCCTGCTGTTGTATTTCCATTCTCATCTTTCCACTTAAGTCTGACATTTTATCCTCCTCTCCCTCTTCTATATCTTCCTTTTCTAGTACACTAACTGTAACACTGACACTCACCCTCTCTCCGCCTTCTCTTTACTCATGCTCTCTTTCAGCTGTTGCAGTTTCTCCTCCATCTTTATGCTGTCCTGAGCCAGAGTCACAGTCTCCATCTGCAGTTCTTGCAGGTTCCTATGAAAACACACATGCATTTATGTAATCACTCAATAACAATCAGTCATATACCTAAATTACCTTACACTGTCAGACTGGACAACCAGGATTTCGTAAATAAGTTCAAATCAACTGCTGCCCTGGCAGATCCCTGTTGCTATGACTGATCAATACTTTAATCAATTAGTCACTGGATCAGGGCGCCACCAAGCCACACGTCAATTCAGTCAATTACCTGCTGGCAAATGAGAAACTACAGTAGAAGATTGAACTCAATTTTACATTGGGCATTATGAAGAAAAATGCACTGCACTGAAAATTACACTATTGGAATCTAGGTCACAAGGTTTATCTTGCCTAAAACTCTACTTTCTGAAATACACATTCTCTGGACAGAGTTTAAATGGGAACAGATAGACATAGTATGACAGCCAAGTGACCCCATTGGACTTCTACCATATGCCTTAAAACACATCATTGATCTTATCTCATCTTACCTGACATTGAGCTTCACAGATTTGGCTGTGTTGTTAGGAAGCACCATAAAATCATTTAAATTCATGTCTCTTCTTTCTGGGGGCTCAGGTATTCCTCCTGCGTAGTCCTCTGTTCTTTATAAAATGAGTGCCTTCTGCAATAAACACCAACATAACAGCATAAAACTGGCTCTCATGCTGGGCCTGGACTAAATCACACACTGCTGCAAATTAATACAGCTGAAAAGAAATGAGCAAAACAGCAGGGACAGATTTGCTCAACTGTATGAAAAGCAGTTAAAACAACCAGCCCTGTGTGTTTAAATAGTATGCATTGACTTGTACATTTGACAAATTGATGGCAACTCTTTGAGGCATTAAAACCATTAAGGAAATTAGTCAGTGGGTTTGATATAAAATATTTTTATAACAGCAAGGTGGTCACATCTGCAGCCAACTCAGCTGATAGCAAAACGATGCTATCTACTGTAAGCTATAGTCAAGGAGGGGGATCTCTTAACAAAGGCCTCTCACATTTTACCTTATTGTTTTGCCCACCAGACTCTACAACAGCACTTGACTAAAATAAAAACCGCAGATTTCACAGAGGCCATAGAATAAAACGTACAGGTGGCCTAAAAGTAACATTAACAATGGCTCGTTTATATCTTCGAGCTATAAGACGCCATGCACAATACCTGAGCAAAACTAAATAGGATGCAGCCTTGTTCAATATTATTTATCTTATTTTTCCTGCCATGACAAGTAGAAATGTCCGCGGTGCTAGGGGTCAACCATTGAAGTGACAGGCACTTGCACATGCTGAAGCTATAGTTCTTCTTGATAGCAGCACTTACAGCTTCAACACAGTGACTTCGGGTCAAGAAACCAGCTCTGCTGGCAAAATTAGGTGTGCTTCCCTCGTGTTTTGGAAGCACTGGTTGAGAAGGTGAGGTGAGCAAGAATTTAACTGAAAAGCTACAATAGCTACAGTGTAAAACATGAAGCTAACTTAGTAGTGCTAACATAGCGTTAAAGCCCATTAAGTTACAGACTGTTGGGACTAGGCTATTGAACTCACCTTTTTGTCTCTGTTACTCTCCTTGGTTTGCCAACGTGTGATGGTATAATCAGGCTTTCACTTTTCGGTGCTTTAATGTCATTAGTTTAAAAGGAATATTTCACTATTTCACAATCTATATTTTATTATTCGATGTTTTCACTGGCGGCACGTTCGAGTCCCTGTGCCGAGTATTTGTGTTGGGCTCTGTTACTATGGTAACCGCTGCCTTTCTCTCGCGCTCTCTCTCTCTCTCTCTCTCTCTCTCTCTCTCTCTCTCGCGATATCCCCGCAGCTGGAGATGGTTTTTGTTACACCTTGTGTGTTTGTTGTCAACTTATCCCTGCCTGAAATTGTTGAGAAAGCTCCAACTTTTTAAAAGAATTATTACAGTATGCCTTTCTCTGTTCAGGGAATAAACATTGGGTTCAAAAATATCAAGTCCCCTATTGCCTCAGTAATCATGGGCAGCGGGAATTCCTTTCTAATTAAAATCCTCACAGCATAAAGATAAACTTTATAGCTCTGATTAGAGCTTTGAACACTTTTTTTTTTCACCAGAGTTTAGACTTGTCTTCAGTCATGCAAGACGATTGGTGTTTAGATCTTTCATGCTGACAAGCATTAGAGATCAGAAGCAAAATCATTTCCCATTAGCCCCATAAGATAAATGTACTGGAAAGAATTTGATAAGACAAAGTGAGAGGTAGGGTGTGTATGTGTGTCCTCAGGAGTGTTTGTCCTGTTTATTACCTAAAAATACACCATGTATACAAGCAAAAAGAAATCTCAGTTCAGAGAGACAGGCAAAATACATAGAGAAGAAAATATGACAAAACATTCTTATCAGTAAAAAAATTATAGATTCTGTTTGAATATTTAATTTATCATACTGTAGGCTATTGCTGTAACATTAACCCTTGCAACATATTCATTTGTTGTATGATCATGTTGTATATGTTCATATAAATAGAACAAAACATGGAAGAAGTTCAGGTTCAATAGTATGTATCAGACTAAAGAATGCTCCATTGTAAATATACTGAAATAATGGCAGATGCATTGCTTAAATGTTGATTCTGCTTCTTTCTCTCTCTCTCTTCTTTTGTCAAACTCTCTCTCCTCCTACATTGTTGGCGTAAGACCCATTGCTCTTGCCATCAGGCAAATGCAGGTATATGATTTATTGAACACACCTGTGTGTGTGTGAGTATGGATAGTCATTTAGGGTCATGACCCGCCAGCTGGATTCTGTCTCTGCAGCTAAACAGTGAATATCTCCCGCTTACCCTTCCTCTCTCGCTCTCTCTCTCTCTGAGCTCTGCCTGCATAGACAGCTGGACATGTAGCATACCGATGAGTGGACAAGTGAGAAGAAGTGAGAGCAGAAGGAGAAGGTATAACAGAGGAGGTGGTGAGGGATATATATGAAGGATGAAGGTAGAGAGGGGAATAGCAAGAGGCTAGAAGGCACACAGAAAAGCCAAGCAAGAGAACGAATAAGTACGAGCACGACAGAATGCATGAAAGGAGGAATACAACAGCAGAACAATTGCAGGAAAAGGACAAGCGCTGCACTGTGAAATGTCAGGGCTATTTAATTCATTAGGAGGCAATGATTATGGCACTGTACTGAATGTCATCTGCTGGGTTAAACCTTCCTTTGCAGCCTCCTGCTGGATATATATTGACTGTGTGGCAGTGGTCGGAAACCTTTTAGCGATGACAGAGTGGCAGCAACAGGGACAGAAAGAAAGAAAGGAGAGAGAAAATAGTCAGCCAGACTCTATTCAATGCTGGTTTTGTGACTCTTGGTATGCATGGGGGGTTGTAGATAATCCTGGGAGTATGTTGACAAAATAATGGAGAAATTGTTAAATAACCTTGAAAAGGGTGGTTGGGAGCTTTTATCCATCCATCTTCTATACCTACTTATCCCTGTTGAGAGTCACAGGGGGATAGAGACTATCCCTGCATGTGCAAATTGCATGGAAGCAGGTCACCAGTCCATCATAGGATTAACACCAGGCAAACACATTTATATAGGCAATTTTAATCTTCTAGTTCACCTGATCTGAGTGTCTTTGCACTGTGGATAGGAAGGGGAACCACAGCAATAAACAGAAAGATGGGAAGAACATTAACAGAGAAACAGCTCGATTATGTTTCAGGACCTTCTTACTTTGATCATGGCGGCAGTGGTAACCACTGAGCTCCTGTGCTGCATCTCACACAAAATGTAGGGTAGAGCAGTCACAAAGTGACCAGAGCTTATCTTTCCAAAATCAAACTTAATTGCTCTGCAGTGGAAAGAGAATTAGACATATTAATTAATGTCAAATGAAATCAACTTCCACTTAATTGAAACATTAAAGAGAATCAGTGGTGCTGGAAAGTAAAATCATACTAACACAAAGACATGAAAAGGTAAAGTAGGAAGAAAGAAATACAAAATGCAGAAAAATTAAAAGTGAGAGCAGTACTTATCTGATTTTAGGCTTTAAGACAACTAAATAGCAAACTACTTCATAGACAGGAAAAAATAAGACATTTCTGAACAGAGGATATCTGAAGAAAGAGAAGTTATGCATTTGAATTTTTAAGGTAAAATTTTAAAAAGATGGAGCTGAGGAGAGATGAGAATGTCACAGCCATCACAGCTTAGTGTGGTGTGCATCCTAAAATACTTATTAATAGTAACACACACTGTAATATAGCCATCTTTAAGTCACAAGCTTCCTAATAAAGCCCTGATATTGAAAATTAAAAAAAAAAAAATCATTTCTGAGATTTCTGCCTCGCTCCAGTACAAAAGGCGTTTTCTACAGCAGAAAGATATTAAGACAGTAGAAAATCACAGATGTAATTAATAGCATTCATGATAAATGGATTCCATTTCAGTATGTCAATGCCAGAGTCCACATACTTCATATACTGTAGATTTTTACTCCCAGAAACAAAGTCTTCGTCAACAGTACAGAGAACGCGAAGATATATCACCATGTGTTGAATGTTGGGACATTTTTGGAGGTGTAGGCTGTATTTACCTGCATACATTCTTGTTATGTTAGGCTAAAGAGTTTCTTAAATCATTTAGATCTATACTAACTGTCTGTGGTAATTTAGGACGGATAACCTTAGCTGACTGTAGCTAACTCGGAGCAGACCTGGAGATCCTGTCAGAAAGTGACACTCTCGGTTCAAGGGGCTAATGCTAGCTAGCTCCTGTCAGCAGATATTACAAACACTGTAGATGACTCAGTTTCTGTCCTGTCTGTGCTCACACTGAACGCTGAAGTGAACGTTTGGACGTGGTTGAAGCATGCCATATGTAGCTGTATGGGATAGTATTTATTTTTAAAAATTTACTTATAGATGTATGTAGTGTATATATCTATGATGGATAATGAGTGTGCTGCTCCAAACACAGTGCATTTACTCAAAATTCAACATGGTGTGACATCAACTTCACATTTTTTTATAGTTTCCATTTGAGCTTTTTTTGTTTGTTTGTTTTTTGTTATAACAGGACAACATGGTCTGTGGGGTGAATACAATTTCATTTGTGATGTTTAAGTTGAAGAGTTCCATTTAAAATCTTCCAGATACTCTAGGTAAACCAGAGGTCTCACTCTGAGCAGTATTCATTTCCACTACTTTCAGTGAAGACATCAGTTGATGGAGATTTTCATGGATTATCCAGCATAAAAGGGACAACGATTCTGGAAAGACATGGGGCTGATGAGCTGTCAGTACAATGCTGATATCGTTAAGCCTATAGAGCGGTTTTCATTTATTTCAGTTAATTACATTTCAGGCTGAAGTTGGCCGCTTGAAACTAAGTGAGGTCACCAAAGTTAACGTACTAATAAAAAATGATAAATGTGTAAGTTGCCCTACTGGTACAGGTACAGCAGACAAGTGAGGAATATATTAATCAAGTACACTCGATATACGACCACACAACCCTGAGAAGAGGTCTAATCAATAAGTGGAAAAACCTGGACTCGTAAACAATGAGTGCGTGAGGCGTTCCCTCGGCTGGTCCCCACGTGGATAGAGGGATGTGAAGTTCTAGCTGGTAAATCAGCTGTGATGAGACCTGTCATGCTTCTAAGTCCTGAGATCCTCTGTTGCCTCCCTTAGGTTGTAATTTTATGTTTAACGCGTATGCAATTTATACTCCTGTGAGGAAATACAGCTCAAACTGTTATTTCAGGGTGGTTCTCTGATCCTGTCTGAAAGTGATGCTGAAAAACGGGTCCATGCATTTGTTTACTCCCCGACTGGGCTACTGTAACTCTTTGCTATCAGGATGTCCTAATAATTTAAAATCCTTCTCCTAATGACAAGGCTCCGTCGTATCTTAAAGAGATCATAGTGCCTTATCATCCTAACAGAGCACTTTGCTCACAGTGCAGGTCTACATGTGGTTCCTAGAGTCTACAGAAGTAGGCCAAACCCCCCCCCCCCACTATATACAAAAAAAATTAAACAATTGAATATTAATTACAGTTAAACTGCAATGTCCAAAAGCAAGGGTTCGTTTTAAGATTGCACACCAACTTTCAATGACATTCACCCTATTAAAAGTGGGGTCTGGAGTTTCTGTTTACTATAAAACTTTACTGTATTGTTGCTCTGCACCGAATGTCCACTTCTATTACAGCTCTCCTTGTTAAAATCTGAGATATTGCTAACTTTTGGCAATAACTGTTTTGAGGGCTGCAAACATAATTAACTCTCACTGCCATGTGGAACATTCAACAACAGCAGGTCCTATCCACTGAAAATAATTAGATTTCCTCTCACAGAGGATCTCAACACTGAAAAGCCTTTCTCAGACCAGGACTGTGAAGAGAGGTACCCAATGGACATGCCTGTCCAAAAGATGTGAGCCAGATAACAAGGAGGTAAAGCAACAAGCAAAGAGAATGAGGATCAGTACCTTCACAATAGGTCACAGTGGGACAAGAACATAGACGGGAATACTTGTCCGGATTCTTGACGTTATGAAGAAAGTCCAGTATACCAACTCTCCTAATGATGTCTTTAAAAAAAAGCTGAAGGTCCCACAGGGTGTGTGATTAGCCATGGTGTTCACACTGATATACTGTATTTGTGTGTGTTTTGCCTTACTAGCATTTGAATAGAAGAAAACTGAGTTAGAGAAATAAACAGAACTGAATAAAAGGAGCCATAAACAAATAAAGAAATGAAAAGTGAAAACTGAAC